TGTAGCTAGAACTTTTTCCTGCTAAGCCCTCTCCCTAGCTTGTCCCCCATTTTCCCCCAAATCTAGTGATACTCTTATGCTTGCATTTGAGAGGCTGAGGGAGGAGGATTGTGAGCGGATGGACAGGTTCAGCTAAGAGTGAGACCCTTGGTACTTTTCTTTTTCTCTGTTTTATCAAATTTGCAGCCGGAAAGGCTCATTTAGTCCTTACTCAGCAGTCTCTGCTTTTCTGCATGTTTTTGTTTTTCTAAAGTGCCTTATGTGGGGCTTTTTTTTTAATCATTTATATTTTGTGGCAAGAGAGTGGCATTTGTGCTATTATGTGTGTATGGAGGTCAGAGGATAACCTGTGTGAGTCCATTCTTTCTGTCTACCATGTGACATCTGAGATTGAAATCAGGTCCTCAGCCCTGGGGGAATTTGGACTTGGAAGTGTCTTTTCTGCTGAGCCATCTTGCTGGTCCTGTGGGGAACATTTTATTATAAGGCAGCAAATGCCATCCATGAGCCTGGCCCCTTAGAAATTTTTTTCCTTGTTTCTTTTTTTTTAGTTCCTTAACAGATTTTTTTTTTGGTTTTTCGAGATAGGGTTTCTCTGTATTGGTTTGGAGGCTGTCTGGAACATGTTCTGTAGACCAGGCTGGCCTCGAACTCAAACTCACAGAGATCCTCCTGCCTCTGACACCAGGTTTCTCCCTATCCCTGCAATGCTCTACCTCTACTGAGATGTCTTTTTCTTTACTCTCCCCCTCTGTACTGCTCTCAACTCCCCTCCAGCCCTCAACCTGTCCAGCACACCCAACTCACTCCCTCAGGTTCCTATCCTCCTATCTCCCAACCCCTGCTCCTGGTTAACCCTGGAGATCTCTTTTTCCCCTTCCCAGGGAAATCCATGCATCCCTCTTTGGGCCGCCTTTGTTCTCTAGCCTCTCTGTGCTGTGGAATATAAATTGGTTATCCTGTACTTTGTGTCTGATATCCACTTATGAGTGAGTATATATAGTGTTTATCTTTCTGGGTCTGGGTTACCTCAGAATGACTTTTTCTAGTTCTCTCTATTTGCCTGCAGATTTCATGATGCTATTGGTTTTTTTGTTTTGTTTTGTTTGGTTTGGTTTGGTTTTTTCGAGACAGGGTTTCTCTGTGGCTTTGGAGGCTGTCCTGGAACGCACTTGGTAGTCCAGGCTGGTCTCGAACTCACAGAGATCCACCTGCCTCTGCCTCCCGAGTGCTGAGATTAAAGCTGTGTGCCACCAATGCCCGGCTTTTTTTTTTTACAGCTGAGTAATACTCTGTTGTGTAAATTTGACCACATTTTCTTTATCTATGTTTCAGTTTGGGGATATCCAGGTTGTTTCCAGGTTCTGGCCGTTATGAATAATGATGCAAAGAATATAGTTGGGCAAGTGTCATTGTAGTATTTTGAGCATCCTTTGGGGGATGTGCCCAAGATTGGTATAGCTGGGTCTTGAGGTAGTTTGATTCCCATTTTTCTAAGAAACTTCCACATTGATTTTCAGAGTGGCTGTTTCAGTTTGTACTCCCATTAAGAGTGGGGAAGTGTTTCCCTTACTCCATATCCTCTCTAACATAAGTTGTCATCATTGTTTTTTAATTTAGCCATTCTGGCAAGTGTAAGATGGGATCTCAGAGTCATTTTAATTTGCATTTACCTGGTGACTAAGGGTATTAAACAATTCTTTAAGAGTGTATCTTGGCCGTTTGAGATTCTTCTTTTGGGAATTCTCTGTTTAGATCTGTACCCCATTTTTTAATTGGATCATTTGTTATTTTGATGTCTAGTTTCTTGAGTTCTTTTTATATATTGGAGATCAGCCCTCTTTCAGACGTGGGGTTGGTGACGATCTTTTCCCATTCCGTAGGCTGCTGTTTTGTCATATTTACTGTGTCCTTGGCCTTACAGAAGCTTTTTAGTTTCAGGATGTACCATTTATTCATTGTTGATCTCAATGTCTGTGCTACCGGTATTATATTTAGGAAGTAGTCTCCTGTGCCATGTGTTCAAGGCTACTTCCTACTTTCTCTTCTATCAGGTTCAGTATAATTGAGTTTATGTTGAGATCTTTGATCCACTTAGACTTGAGTTTTGTGCAGGGTGGTAGATATGGATCTATTTGCAATCTTCTACATGTTGCTAACCAGTTATACCAGCACCATTTGTTGAAGATACTCTCTTTTTTCCATTGTATACTTTTTGTTTCTTTGCCAAAACTCAGGCATTCATAGGTGTGTGGATCTATGTCAGGGTCTTTGATTCAATTTCTTTGATCCACCCGTCTGCTTATCCAACACTAAGCTGTTTTATTCCTTGAGGTGGCTAATGACATCACATCCACAGAAAACAATGAAGTAGTACATTAATGCAAGTGTTCATCTTACTTTCTTCACTCTTTCTAGATTTTTATTATTTTACATAAATAGATGCTTTGAATGCATTTATCTCTGCACTGTGTGCTTGCAGTACCCTTGGAGGCCAGAAGAGGTCATCAGCTCCTCTGGAACTGGAGTTGTTTTCAGTAGTCCCTGTGCCAGGCACTGAAGCTGAGTCCTTTGGAGGAAGTGCAGGTACTCTTAAATGCTGTCTCCAGCCCTTTCTGGTGCAGTCCACAATTCCCTGTACAGGGTATGGTGCTGGCCACAATGCACAGGTCTTCTCCCTTCAGTTAATATAATCCAGGTAATCCCTCACAGATAAACCCTGATCTAGACAGTTGCTCCCTGAGTGTCCCTTCATAGAGATTCTCGATTATGTGAAATAACCACACCAATACAGGACTTTAACATTGAGCACTTCTGGTGTATATAGAGATACCTTATTGCCATGGTTCCTTTTTCCCAGTTTCCTTTCCATTTTTTTCTTGAAATTAAGAAACCTGTTAAATTTCCTTATTAGTTAGTGGATCTCGTCTATAGTAGGCTGGTAACATTCTCATTTCTTTCATATAAGGATGCCCTCACATTCCTTTCTTTCCTGGATGCTGTTTTTATGGCATAAAGGATCCATAGTGGACAAGTCTTTTCAGTTTTTACAGTATTATTCCATTCCTTTCCTCCATTATGGCTTCTGCATAGAAGTCTTCTGTCAATTGACCTGTTCATAATCTGCCCTTTCACTTGAGGTATATTCAAAATGGTTTTGTCTGTAATGTTCAAAGTTTGTAACATGGTAGGTATGAAATTTTTGAGTTTCTCTTTCTTTGTTTTTTTTAAATAATGTCTTGATACATAGTCAGGGCAGGTGGTATGACTTAACCTAGGCTAGCTTTGAACTTGAAGCAGTGCTCCTGTCTTGGTGTCCTGAATAGTGAGATCCCAGCTATGGCAGTCTATCTTGATTGGTGTTGACTTTTCTTTTTGTCTGAGGGTTTATGCCCCTTACCAAACTTGATAGACTTAAAGTTATCTTTCATTCCCATTCTTGGTGTTCTTTTTCAGGAATTTCTGTGCTATGAATGATAAATAAGTTGTTATTGTCCCATGTATCCTTGGGTTCATGCTTTTTGTTTTTCTCTTTATAAAAATTAATGTCTATTGATTTGAAATACCATGTCTTTTGTCATGTCTAGTCTGTTGTACTTCCCCTTTAATACTGTCTGTTTTTAGAGTTTTCAATGTCTTCATTTGCATGTGGTTGTTTTTGTTGTTGTGTTTTTGTTGGGTTGTGAGATGGGGTCTCACATAACCCATGCTGTCCTCAAACATACTGTGTATTCAAGAATGACCTGGATACATGTCGTTTAGGCTGACACCATATTTTAACTCTATCCTGCAGGTGACCTAAGACTCATAATCCTCCTGCTTCCGTGTTCTGAGTATTGGGAAGACAGTGTGTGTGTGTGTGTGTGTGTGTGTGTGTGTGTGTGTGTGCTCCATCACATCTTGCTGTGAGTCAAGTTTCTTTAGTGAACATTAGGGAAATGCAACTCTCTACCACAAATGTAAGTCACAGCCTTGAGGTGAAAGCTTTATATTTGTATACTCTAGTTAAAATGCCACAACAAAAACACTGAAGTCACACAACAAATTTTAGCAGGCTATCTAGCGTTCAGGGGTGACAAAATACAGAGGAGAGCCTGAGAAATATCCCCGCATGTGCCTAATACCTTCTTCTCTCCATAGATGACTCTTCCAGTCCTTTAACTTGCAAATATGAGCAGAGTTACCATTTGTTACTGTGATGATGCTATATATTTCCATAGCACGTGACAAGAAATTTCTCATCTATTCTTTGTTCATGCTAATTCAAGAATATGAGGCTCATAATCCTTCCTATATCCTGAAATGTGGATAACGTAAGATTAGGGAATAATGTTGTCCCATGCTTAGACGCCCGTTTCACTGCGAGGAAGGAGCAGTTGGCCTCAGCTAGGAAGGCTCCCTGCAGTGATAGCCAACTGGAGAATCTGGTCGGTCCCCAGTGTTACGTGTAGCTGTCCTTTTACGGAGGCTTGGTTCCACATGTCCCTTCCTGTTCCCACTCTAGAAAACAGGGTTTCTTTGCAATAGCTGATGATGCCTGGCTTTATTGTATTTGTTTCTGGAGATACAGTCTGACAAGGTAGTCCAGGGTGGTCTTGAACGCGCGAGATTGTCAGGCTGACCTTGATTTGTAGTCCTCCTGTCTCAGCGCTTAGAAATCCTCCTGTCTCAGCTTCCTAAGTGCTGAGATTACACATGTGTGCCATGTTTCCTGCCCCCCCCCATACATGTGTCTCTCTTAGGGTCCTCCTTTTACCTAGCTTCTCTGAGGTTGTGCATTGCAGCCTTGTTATGCTTTGCTGAACATTTCATATCCACTTACGAGTGAATGCACACTGTGGCAAGTCAGTAGTGTTATAACATTGGGGTTGCTATCACTAAAGGTTAAAGTTTTAAATGAAGGAATCTGGACACTCCAAACATTGGCTTTTCAAGGTTTTTGTCATTTATTTTTTATTCTGTTTTTTTTTTTTTTTTTTTTTTTTTGAGACACGGTCTCACTTTGCAGGCTTGGAACTTGCTGTGCACACTGGGATGGACGGGAATTAATAGTCATCTGCCTGCTTACTGAGATTAGAATCGGGTACCACTGTGCGTGGCTTTCAAGATTTCCTTTGTGATCATTTTAAACATTTGTATGTGTATGTGCCCATTCACATTTGAGTGCGATGTCTTCAGATGCCGTAAGAGGTGTCCCCTCGGGTGGAACTCTTCAGCTGGTCATGTGCAGCCTAAAGTTGCTGGGTGCTGGAAACTCAACGCGGGTCTTCAGCAAGAGCAGCAAGTGTTCATAGACACTGAGCTCTCTCTCGCCAAGTCCCCTGAACTGGCATTGCCAACGTGCCATTATTCTTATTCTGTCAACTAAGATATGCAAATTCGGGGCCCATGAACTAGAGGGACTATTTAACTTTGAAAGGCAAGGGCCCCACGAGTGATTTACGTGTTGAAAAACTAAAACCTCCATCCCCAAGACTGGTAGATGCGAAGCCGCTCTTCCTCAACCTCGGAAACAGGAAGGTTAAAGAACAAGTCATGTGCTGGAGATTCCTGAGACACGGCATTAGCCCAAGTAGCCAGAGAAATCAGAGTGAGGGTAGTGGGCCAGGATACGGTTTTCTCCGTCTTTCTTCTGTCCAGGCAGTGGCCTGAAGGAGTCCGGATCAGATAGAGGCGGCGTACAGAGAAGAAACTACATTACCCACAGTCCTATGCCAGGGGCACTATTGGACAGGGCGGGACTTCCGCCTGGGTTGGTGCAGGCTGTGTTCAAACTGGTTTGGAAGTAGGCTGCCTGGTCCTATCCCACCGGCGGAGCCCAGTGGGGAAGACATCCAGACTACAATCTCTTTCTCCATGCCCCTGTGACAGCTGGCGTTCCTGTCCTGGTCGTACCTGGGAGTCATTTCCCCCAGGCTTTGTAGGCGTGTCTGCACCGGGTAGGCTGGGGGCATTTCCAGGTGTGGGTTTGCGACCGAGCCCCCTCTGCCCGCCCACCCGGCTGCTGCACCGATGGACAGAGCTCAGGTGATTGGAAGTTCTCCTAGATTCTCGCCCAGGTCCAGAGGTGTGAGCGTCTCGGACTTGTCACCCTCATTCCCTCATTGCTTCCTCGCCCTAAGTATGAGCACTCGGGGATGTGGAGTAGGGGTGGGGGGTAGTCAGGGGGAACTCCAGGCCCTGCTACTTCGCCTCGGCGGCGGGGTGAAATGTGGAAGGGTTGCAAGGAAGCAATACTCGGGTGCAACAGTGACTTAGGAGAGTTTCAGAAACCGGAAGACTTCCGAGAGCAGTGGTTCAGGCTCCCACTGAGAACCGTAGCCTGAGGCTCAGAGCGTACTTCCTGTGGGTGACTGGGAAATTCATTGTGGAGATGGAGGGACTGTGGCAGGTTTTGTTTTGTTTGTTTTGTTTGACATTTCAACCCCAGTTCCCCTTCTCTCTTCTCTTCTCATCTCCCCCCCATCCCATCTGCTCCTTGGAGAGGGTAAGGCCTCCCCTAGGAAATCTACTAAGTCTGTCCCATCATCTAGTTGAGGTAGAACCAAGATAACCTCTCCACGCCTCACACCCCTATGTCTAGGCTTGGCAAGGTGTCTCTCCATATAGGAAACAAAACAAAACTTTGTGTGGTACAGTTTTCACCAGCAGTCCACTAGCTTCAGAGCAGAAATGTGAGATTGCTGTGTGTGTGTGTGTGTGTGTGTCTTCAAGTGCAGGTGTCAGAAAAGGGTCATCTGGATCCTGAAGTCTGTCAGTACTGGAAACTGAGTCCGGTCCTCTGCACAAGCAGTATACAGTCTTAACCACTGAGCCCTGACAACCATTTGGAATTATTATTATTATTGTGTACGTGTGTAATGTATGCCTGTTCACATGTGCCAAGAAATGTGCATGCTACCGAATGCTTGTTGAAGTCAGAGGACAACCTTGGAGGATTGGGTCTCTCTTTTCACCTTTATGCAGATTCTAGGAATTGAACTCAGGTCATCAGACTTGCAAGGTAAGAGCTTTATCCCCTGAGCCATATCTACTACCTAGCAATTGATAATCTTGTGTCTCTACTATTGATGGCTTGTAGGAGAAGGCAGAGCTGAGATTTGGTTGCGACAGGGAGGTATATTGTAGACAAATTCAAGAAAACCCAGTGTTACAAGTATCTGACTGCTCTCATGCCAGACTGTGTTTAAATGTATTCAGTTATTTCTATTGTGCATACATATGAGGCATGTGAGTGAATGAGTGAGTGAGTGAGAGAGAGAGAGAGAGAGAGAGAGAGAGAGAGAGAGAGAGAGAGAGTTTGGGTTAAAGGCCAATTTTGTAGATTTGGTTCTCTTTCACTTTTACATGGGTTCTGGGCATCAAGCTCAGGTCACCAGGCAAGTGCCTTTCCTCACTAGCCTAAGATGCCATGATTAGCTATCATTTTGCACACTTCCTGGCTCTTTGCTGGTCTGGACACAGTGGAATGACAGAGACACACAGGAATAGAGTAGGCGTCAGTAGTTTCATGACTTAGTGTATCCTATAAGGCTGTAGACTTGGGGAGGAGAGGGATTAAGGGATGTGTATACATGAGATAGACTGAAGGGTATGCTTCTGGTGGGCTCAAGTGTCTCTTCCCATCATGCTAGGGCCGTGTGACCTTTGGAGATGTGCTTGTCGACTTCTCCTGGGAGGAATGGGAACTCCTTGATGAGCCGCAGAGGCTCCTCTACCTCAATGTGATGCTGGAGAACTTTTCCCTTGTGGCCACACTTGGTAAGTGTCTGTGACATTGCTACTTGGCAGATTGCAAATTTCATAGCTTCATAAGTTGAAAACCTATCTCTTAGCCGGGTGTGGTGGATGTATGCCTTTAATCCCAGCACTGTGGTTTGAAGCCAGCCTGGTCTACAAAGCAAGTTCCAGGACAGCCAGGGCTGTTACACAGAGAAACCTGTCTTGGGGGAAAAAAGGTTATTATCACCCCATTTTAATCCCTTTGGATTGTGGAAATGCTTAGCTCAAAGTGTGATGGAGTTTCAGTCAAACTGTCAGGCAGCCATCTGGTGTCTTCTGAAGGCCTGTCTTTGGAAGAATCTGCCCACAAGGATGTGGGTTGTTGAGCTGGGAGCATGTTTCTCAGTCATGTCTGTTGTATGGTGACCCTCAGAACATGGATGGCTACTTCTGGGAGACGGATCTCAAAAGTGATATTTCGTCTTATTTGTACCTGAGTTAGTGAGTGCATCCTATGTTAGGGGCAGAGGTTTACATGGGAGCCAGTGTGTCAGAAGGCAGCCATCATGTGTGGCCATCTTTCAAGCTGCTCTCCACAGGACTTCATACCAACTCATGTTCATGCCAGTGTTTGCTCCTATCTTAGGAAGAACTATTTGTGTGGTGTGTGTGTGAGAGAGAGTGATGGTGGAGGGAGAACACTGATCTGTACTCTTCCACATAGGTTTTGGTTGTTGTTTTTGGTTTTTTTGAGGGTTTTTCAGTGTAATGGCCCTGCCTATCCTATAACTTGCTTTGTCCTTGAACTTACAGAGACTCACCTGTCTCTGCCTCCCAAGTGCTGTGATTAAAACAAGCACCACTAACCCCCTCCTGCCCTTCCACAAACTTTTAAGGGTACCACGAACAAAACCATTAGAGGGTTTCATCAACATGACTGTGCCTGACGTTTCCAACTAAACCAGGTAGATTCTGTGTGAAATCACTTTTGTCTTAGCGCCTCCCAATGACCGAGTCATAGAGCATTCCTGGTTGACATCGACATTAACTGTTTTTCTGTCAGAATGTTACTGATAACCAGTTCTTACCCTGCTCCTGGCTCCTCAGACAAACGGGTAGGCTGTCATTCTGATGAGCGGCCTCTTCACGACAGAGGCAACATGCTGTTCATGAGCTTTCCTGTGCTTTCAGGTTGTTGGTGTGGAGCAGACAGCAAGGAGGCACCTTGTGAGGAGAGCGTCTCGACAGAAGCAGTGCCGCAGGCCGGGACTGCGGAACCAAGTCTCGGGATGCCAACCGCCCACCCCTGTGAGAAGTATGGCCCACTCCTGAAGAGCATTCTGTACCTGGTTGAGCACCATGGCCCATGCCCTAAGCAGGCCCTGCATAGATGTGGGCTCAATGGGACAGGATGCTTCCTCACTGCAAAACCTTCCCGGCACCGGGAGCAATGCCGTGGAGAGAATGCCGTTGGATGGGGTGGCGGAGAAGCCTCAGGTGGGAAGAGCGCAGTTCGCATGGCTGAGCCACCATCTGCGTGCCCAGAAGACGAGATAGACTGGCCAAACAGCGCCAGCCTCCTGCAGCAGCACACCCAGCGCCCGGCGCCCAAGGAGGTGAACCTGCACAGAAACGCTGAGTGCCTGGAGCCTCTCACACAGAGCTCCAGCCTTGGGAAACACCAAGGAGATGGCCATGGGCAGACGGTCTGCAACAGTGACCACTGGAAAGCCTCCCCGCACACCTTCGCCTCTCTCGACAATCGCATGCCTCTTCCTGAGGGGAACCCCTTCAGCTGTCTGCCGGTTGGGGACGTGTTCAAGGAGATGCCAGCTCTTCTGAATCACAGAAGCCTCCCCGACAGAGGAGCACCTTATGTATGTGAAGAGTGTGGCAAGGCCTTTATTCGCCTGTCGCATCTAAACAGGCACCAGAAGTTTCACAGCGCGAAAAGTCACTACACGTGTGACGAATGTGGGAAGCTCTTCCGCCGCAAAGACACACTTACACAGCACCAGAGAGTTCACACAGGGGAGAGGCCTTTTAAGTGCAGTGACTGTGACAAAGCCTTCAGTCGCAAAGACGTCCTTGTTCAGCATCAACGATTCCATGCGGGAGAGAAACCTTACCCGTGTGGCGAATGTGGGAAATTCTTTAGTCAAAGTTCCCACCTTAGGGAGCACTGGAGAATCCACACAGGAGCAAGGCCTTACGATTGCACCGAGTGTGGGAAATTCTTTAGCCACACATCCAGCCTTGTCAAACATCAGAGGGCCCATACTGGAGCCAGGGCCTATGTTTGCAGCAAGTGCGGGAAAGCGTTCGGCTGCAAAGACACACTTCTTCAGCACCAGAAAACTCACACTGGTGCAAAGCCCTATGGGTGTAGTCAGTGTGGGAAGGCCTTCAGCCAGAAACAAATGCTTGTAAGGCACGAGAAAATCCACACTGGGGAAAGGCCCTACGGATGCGGTGAATGTGGGAAATGCTTCAGACACAGCTCCAACCTTGTCGTGCACCAGAGGATCCACACTGGAGCCAAACCTTATGGATGCAATGAATGTGGGAAATGCTTCAGTCACAACTCGAGCCTCGTCCTGCATCAGAGAGTCCACAGCGGAGCGAGGCCTTACGTGTGTAGCGAATGTGGGAAAGCCTACATTAGTAGCGCCAACCTTGTTCAGCACAAGAAAGTTCACACCGGAGCCAGGCCTTACGAGTGCAGGGAATGTGGGAAATCCTTCAGCCGCAATTCTAACCTCATCCTTCACCAGAGAGTTCACACCGGGGAAAAGCCTTTTACCTGCACCGAGTGTGGAAAAGCCTATACGCGAAGCTCTCATCTTCTACAGCATCAGAAAGTGCACGTGGAAGAAGACAGGCTTCCGGTGTGCAGCAGCCCTGGCGACCCTTCAGCTGTAGCTCTTAAGCTTGTTTAGCATAGAATAATTCAGCTGGGCATGGTGGGCCTTGCCTTTAATCACGACGCTTGGGAGGCAGAGGTAGGTGGATCTTTGTGTGTTCTAGGCTAGCCTGGTCTGCAAAAAAAAAAAAAAAAAAAAAAAAAATTCATCCTAGAGAAAAGCCTTATGCAACGAGAGAAATCTGATGCTTCCAGTTTTCAGGCTAATGGTCACACGAGGGCAATGCCCAATTTACTGAGCACTGTTTACGGAGCAGCCATCATCCTGCAGGTTACCATGATCCGTTCTTATATCTAGTCAGGGGAGATTCCCAGTTGGCATCAGGTGTAGGGAGTTCTCATGCGATGTATTCCACTGTCTAAACTGTCCAGGGCTCCTCAGAGAGACATGTCACTGCTCTCTCACTATTACCATTGTTTCCACCCGTCCTTTCTGCCCTAGGAAGACAGACGCTTGCTGGCCCCTCCAGGCAATCATGAATGTCCAAAGCCCACTGAGGCTTCTTTCTCCCACCTCGGGTGGAGTCTAAGCAGGCAGCTAACTTCAACTAAAAGGATCCCAGCTAAGCCCTTCTGCAGACTTGCAGGCATTTTTGTTCTGGAGAACGTTGCCTGTGACAGTAATCTTGCCCAGGATGCCACCTGGAAACTGCCTCGTCCTTCGCAGTTGCTTTTCACGGTGACAAAGCATACTACAGCAGCCGGTATGCTTAGCTTTGTTTGCAATGTGGAGTGGATAGAGAAAGCAGTTTTGCTACGGCCATACCACCCTGAACGTGCCCGATCTCGTCTGATCTCGGAAGCTAAGCAGGGTCGAGCCTGGTTAGTACCTGGATGGGAGAAGGCAGTTTTGTTCTGCCAATGCGGTGCGATCTTTATTTACAGGCGTATTTATGGTGACATATATAGGCACCGTCTTTATTTGCGTCAGATAAGACGACGGGTTAACGCAGAGTTCTTGGTCTAGTTTAACATAGTGTGCCCCCTGGCTGAGGCTTTAATAGAAAGAGCTTTGGGTACTAAGTTACATACTCGAGTGTAAGGATCACCTGTGGTCCCAGTGTTCCTTTCCAAGAACAGCAGGCGTGGAAAGTACATTTGCTCCTGGGAGCGGTGTGAAATGGGTCCCCTGGATGTCACAGATTCCCCCAAGCGTGACTGAGAGCTTTTCATCTTGGATCTCTAGAGTACAGAGCAAGACTCTGGCCTTCCTGGTCACACAGACAAGTGCGACTGACCCAGCCAGTGAGGTGGGGACCAGGAATGGGGCAGGGACAGGGAGATGATGGGGTCGGGGTGACGGTTGGGTGGGCAAAAGGTTTGCTCACTGGAAAGGATCTTCCGCAAATGTGTGTGCACTTAGCCACGTGAAGGCAACGTGCAGAAGAGTCCGAGCCTGTCTCTATGGCAGCCAAGTCCTTGTCAGAGTAAACATCTGAAGTTTTGCCCTGTGGGTCTCAACTCCTTTGGGGTTGAGTGACCCTTTCCCAGGGGTCTCCTAAGCCCATCAGAAAACAAAAATATTTACATTACAATTCATAGCAGTCGCAAAATTACAGTTACAAAGTCACAACAAAATAATGTTGTGGCTGGGGTCACTGCACCACAAGGAACTGTGTCAATGGGTCACAGCGCTGGGAAGGTTGAGAACCCCTGATCTAAAGGTTTGAATTTCTTTTCCATCCTGGATGTCAAGCTTGTGGCCGTTACTGTCCAGTTGGGAATCCCAGCACTGACAGCAGAGGGTGGGTTTCTGTGACTCCAAAAGTCTTCCTAATTTCTACAGGGGGCATGGGCTTCATTGCTTGCCCATTGTTCATGGGTCAAGCATCACTCCTAAATTGTGAAGGGAATGCTACAGGACAGCCAGACTACTTGACAGCTCTGACGTTCTAAGAGGAATGAGAACAGGGATCTCATTGGAAAATCATGTTTTAACAGTAATTTGAATCACTACACGGAATAGTTGATCTAGTAAATACTGGCAGAGTTAAGCTTTCCGTTGGTACCATATTGCTTGAGGTTTTTTTTTTTTTTTTCCTGTTTCTCCTCCTTAATATCTGGTTCTCCTGTTGTTTTCTATGGTAAGTTACAATTAGAAGATATTGCCCATCCCATGAGATCTTGAAGGAATACATCCCAGAAATGTTGATCTATATTTCTTTTTTCTTTAAGAAGACACAAATCCAGGCTGCTGAAATTTTTTCCCTACCACTATCATGGAGTTTGGAATGTTCTCTGAAAGCCTCAAGGCTTACCAATGGCCAAGAGCAAGTACCCCTCTAAGTCAGTGGTTCTCTATCTTCCTGATGCTGCAATCCTTTCATGTGCCCCCAGCCATAAAATTATTTAATTGCTGCTTCATATGTATACTTTTGCTACTCTTTTGAACTGTTTCTCGATGGTCTTAGATCTTTGCTAAGGGATTGTTTGACCCCAAGGGAGTCATGACCCACAGGTTGAGAACCTCTGCTCTGAACCATGTCACCTGTGGTTCTGGGACAGACACTAAGCACTGCCCTTGGATTCAAAACCCACTGTTAACTATTGATTGATTGGCATGATGCAGCCCAGGTAGGTAGGCAGGTGATAGGCAGAACTACCCTCTTGCGGTAGCACCCATATTCTGTCTTGTAAACCTACTCTGACTCCCTCCTCAGTGGTATCCAATGTCCCGAGAAAATTAGTCATTAACCTTAGCCAGGCTGTGGTGGCACACGCCTTTAATCCCAGCACTTGGTGTGAGTTCAAGGCCAGCCTGATCTACAGAGTGAGTTCAAGGACAGCCAGGGCTACACAGAGAAACCCTGTCTTGGAAAACAAAACAAGACTTTATTGATGTATAGTTAACGTGCAATGCGTTACAGATGTATAAAATATAAGATGTATGCTTTCTCAGCATCTGGAGACCCCTGTGAACTCAAAGTATTTGGGATCATGTGTTGGGGCTGAAGAATGGTTCAATGCTTAAGATCACTGTCTGTTCTAGAAGATGTGGGTTTTGCTCACAACAGCCATATTGGTTGGCACACAACCACCTGTAAATCCAAGCCCAGGAGGGGAAACACACACACATACACACACAACTAAACTTAAAAGATAACATGTGTATCCCACATAGCCAAATGACTTGTGTTCCTTCCTACTTCTCCCATCTGTTTCTGTCCCTGTCCACAGACATTAGCACATATTTCGTAGAATTTAGCAGTTGACATTTGGTTAGTATTTTCACGAGGAAACAGTGTTCTGGCATACACACACATGATGCGTGACTGAGTGCTGTTGTTTTGTATCACTGAACAGCCAGCATTTCATTGTATGCCACGTGTTTAAAATCCGTTCAGTTAATGGGCATTCTAGTTGTTTATAGCTTTGGCTATTACAGATAAAGCTGCTATAGGATCTGGATTCAAGGTCAGAGAGAATAAAATTTTATTGCGTGTTACGTGCTGCATCTTACCCATTCGCCAGTTGAAGATGTATTAGCTGTTTTCAGCATTTGACAGTCATGAATAAATCTGCTACGTATATTTGTGTGCAGCTTCTCTTTGGACAGAAGTTTTTCACGCCAAGGAGCAGTATCTACCAAGGAATCTATTAAATGCGTATTTAATGTGGGTAAATTGTCAAGTTGTCAACTGAAGTGTCTCCTCCGTCACCAGTGGATGTAGCTCAAACACAGAGAACTTGGCCAGCATGCGTGAGGTCCTAGGTTCAGTCCTCTGCGTTTGGGGGTGGTGTTGCAAGGATCCTACAAGCAACAGGTATTTGAAGGTGTTATTGGCGGGCCCAGTGGAATGGCTTAGCAGGCACAGGCACCTGCTGTCAAGCGTGACTACCTGAGTTTGATTCCCTTGTACCCATGTAGTGGAGGGGGATAACTGAATCCTGCAAGTTGTCCTCTGACCTCGACGTGAACACGCACACACACACGCACGCACGCATGCACGAGTAAATGGAATTTGAAAAGGTTCAAGTGGCTACCACTTTGAATTGCAACAAGCAGCCAATGGCAGACATTTCCATTTCTTATTGGCATTTTGCATTGTCGACGTTTTGAGATGTGGCTATATAGTCGAGCAGATTTATCAGTTTTTCCTTTTGTTTGCGGTTCCATGATGACAAGTGATGGACATCTTTCCGTTGTTTTTTTGTTTATTTGCTTGTTTCTATAATGGGGTTTGAACCTACAGGCTAGCACATGCCAGGAAAGTGCTCGACTTAGCTGTATCCCTACCCTTCCAAATATGTTTGAGGCCATGGCAAGAGAGCTCAGCAGGTAAAGATGCTTGCCACCAAGACCATCGACCTGTGTGTGACCTCTGGGACTGATGGGATAGAAGGACGTGTCATTATGTGGGGAGGTCCGAAGACAAGCTGCAAAGGCTGCAGACGTCCGTTTCCTTCTCCTTCCATGTGAGAACTAGGGATCAAATTCAGGTCATCAGACTTGGCAGCAAACGGGCTTCAGCAGCCAAGCTATTGCGATGATCTGTGCATTGTATTTCTAGTGTTTGTATTAGCTTGCTTTTGTGCCGCTATAACAAAATGCCTAACGTAGAGCAGTTACGAAGGATTCTGGGTCCAGGATTCTGGGGAGGAAGAGTGGTAGAGACAAAAAATGCAGTGTGATTGAGGAAGACAGGGTTCTCAGATGTGAGAGGAAAGGGCCTCACGGTGTCTGGTCTCCAGACCTGGTGTCGCTTCAAAGCTGGTGGCTAAGTTGAGATTTTCCCATATTGGTCCCAAAGAGAGGAATTGTAGAAAGTAATGGGATGCTTAAGGAATAAAAAATTGAAGTACATTATTATGCCAAGCAGTGGAAGCACATGCTTTTAATCCCAGCACTCAGGAGGCAGAGGTAGGTGAATCTCTGTGAGTTCGAGGCCAGCTTGATCTACAGAGCGAGTTCCAGGACAGCCAAGGCTACACGGAGAAACACTGTCTTGAAAAACCAAGACAACAACATCAAAAATTTTACTCTTTAGGGGCTGGAGATGGTTCAACAGTTAAGAGCACTGGCTGTTCTTCCAAAGGATCCTGGTCTAATTTCCAGCACCATGGTAGCTTACAACTTCCTGTAACTCCTTCCGGCCTTCATAGGCACAAGGCCTGTGAGTGGCACACAGAAATACATGTAGGCAAACTACCTAAAATATCTAAATAAATCAATTAACGAAATAAAATCAATAAAACTATTTTAAAGGCCAGGCATGCCTGAACTGCTGGTACCACACACCTTTAGTCCCAGCACTCAGTAAGCAGAGACAGGCAGACCTCTTGAGTTTGAAGCCAGCCTGGTCTCTATTAGTTCGACTCCAGCCTCGTCTACATACTGAGTTCCAGAGCAGCAAAGACTACACAGTAAGACTCAGTCTTTAAAACACTACACCACTAAGCCATCTCTCCAGTACCCTGCTTTTCACTGTCAAATTGGAGGAATTTAAAAATATATATTCCGGGGGGACTGGAGAGATGGCTCAGAGGTTAAGATCACTGGTTTGCTCTTCCAGAGGTCCTAAGCTCAAATCCCCAGCAACCACATGGTGATTCACAGCCATCTATAATGAGATCTGGTGCCCTCTACTGGTGTGTAGGCAGACATGCTGGCAGAACACTGTATATGTAATAAATAAATAATTACAAATAAAGTCAGCATCCTCTCTTCTCTCTCTCTCTCTCTCTCTCTCTCTCTCTCTCTCTCTCTCTCTCTCTCTCTCTCCCTCTCTCTCTCCTCTCTCCTCTTCTCTCCTCTGTTTTTTGGAGACAGGGTTTCTCTGTGTAACCCTGGCTGTCCTGGAACATGCTCTGTAGACCAGGCTGGCCTCAAATGCAGAGATCTACCATCCTCTGCTTCCCAAGTGCTAGGATTAAAGGCATGTACCCCTACTTTTTGTTTTTAGACAGGGTATTATTGTTTCCTGCCTAGGCTAGTCTTGAACTCCTATTAAGTGATATGTATTAATTCTTTAGCCTCTTAGTTGTTGAAACAGGCTTGTACCATTATGCCCAGATGCAGCCTGTCAACTCCCTGTTAGCATCCCATACTGATGATTCCGTCTGTTCCTTTTTTTCCTAGTGTTTTTAAAGATTTATTTATTTGTTATATATACAGTGTTCTGTCTGAATGCATACCTACGTGCCAGAAGAGGACCCAGATCTCATTATATACGGTTGTGGCCTGCCTTATGGTTGCTGGGAATTGAGCTCAGGACCTCTGGTAGAGCAGCCAGTGTTCTTTTTTTATTATTTAAATTTAAATTAGAAACAAGGTTGCTTCACATGTCGATCCCAGGTCCCTCTCCCTTTCCCTCCCCTCCTCCCACGCCCTCCCACCAATCCCCCCAGTACTCCCTCCTTTCTCCAGGGAGTGTGAGGCCATAAATGGATGTCCATAGTCTGTCATTTCATCCAGGGCAGGGCCTAGAACTTCCCCCCAAGAGTCCAGGGTGAGAGTCCATTTCTCATTGTGGGATAAATACTGATCTACTACCCAAGGCCCCATAGATTGCCTAGGCCTCCTCACTGACACCCACATTCAGGGGGTCTTGATCAGTCCCATGCTGGATTCCCAGCCATCAGTCTGGGATTCAAGAGCTCCCCCTTGTTCAGGTCAGCTGTTTCTGGGGCTTAAACCAGCCCAGTCTTAGCCCCTTTGGTCATCAGTCCTCCATCTCTGTCACTGGATTCCTTGAGTTTAGCTCAGTGTTTAGCTGTGGGAGTCTGCCTCTGCTTCCATCAGTCATTGGTTGAAGGTTCTGTCTCCCAGACTCTCTGGCCATGGGATTGTAGGCTGGCACTCCCCAGATCTATGTTTAAAATCCATATGTGAGAGAGTGCATGCCATGTTTCTCTTTTTGTGATTGGGTTACCTCACTCAGGATGGTTTCTTCTAGTGACATCCATTTGCCTGCAAATTTCAGGATGACGTTTCCCCCCCCCCCACTGAGTAGTACTCCATTGTGTGAATGTACCACATTTTCTCTATCCACTCTTCAGTTGAAGGGCATCTAGGTTGCTTCCAGGTTCTGGCTATTACAAATAATGCTGCTGTGAACATTTCTTAACCTATGATCCATTTCTCTAGCCCTCCTCTGTTCCTTTTATAGAACCCAGTGATACCTACCTACAGATGAGGCTGCAGATCCCAGAGGGTCATATTCTCCTCCAAGGGGTGAGGAACATAAACTAGTCTCTGGAACAAGATACCCAATTGAAACTGCTCTGAGACACATTAGAGATTGCTACAACAACTCTCCCAGTGCTCTTAGCCAAACACTGGACCTCCAAAGATCTTTTTTAAAAATATTTTTCAAAGATTTATAATTATGTACACAGTGTTCTGCCTGCATGTATGCTTGCACACCAGAAGAGGGCACCAGATCTCTTTACTGATGGCTTTGAGCCACCATGTGGTTGCTGGGAATTGAACTCAGGACCTCTGGAAGAGCAGTCAGTGCTCTTAACCTCTGAGCCATCTCTCCAGGCCCCAGTGTTCTTTCTCAGGATAGCTGAAGCAGAAATGTACGTGAGGCTGCCACTAGAATGAGAGTTATTTCTGCCGCGTCCGAGACACACTTGAGGTTTTCTCTCTTTATCCCTTCCACAGTTCCCACCACTCTCAACACAGCCCTAACTGTTCACAGTGAAAGTCACGGGTCCTGGAGTACCAGGAACCCGCCTTCCAGAGACGCATCCCTGGGCAGGGACCCTCGGGAGGCGCCAGTGCTGAGCCCCCAGCCCGCCTCATTTAGGGAAGACAGTTTGCATCCTTCACTGGTCTCCTGCAACTTTTGAGTTTGATACTTAGCTACTAATGGAAAAGCAAACAGTACGTCCACCCTAGAATGCGACATTAAGTCTCGGCTTGTCGTTTTCACAGAACAAGAAAGGTTCCTTTCCTGGATCTTGATTGGTTTCTGGATTATGTAGTTCTTACAACACCAAAGCAAGTTGAATTATAAAGGAGTGACTTATTCTTTTAATACATTTTTATTTAAATTAGAAACAATTTTATTCTACATATCAGTGCCTGTTTCCTCTCCCTCCCATTCTTCCATGCCCCCCTCCGATGCCCCACCCACTCCCCAGGAAGTTTGAGGCCTCCCATGGGGTATCATCAAAGTCTGTCACAACATTTGGGAGAGGGCCTAGGCCCTCCCTCATGTATCTAGACTGAGAGAGTTTCCTTCCATGGGGAATAGGCTCCCAAAGTCCATTCATGCACTAGGGATAAATACTGGTTCCACTGCCAGAGGCCCCACAGACTGCCCAGGCTTCCTAACTGACACCCACATTCGGGGGGCCTGGTTCGGTCCCCAGCTGTCAGATTTCCATCCATGAGCTCCCACTTGCTTAGGTCAGCTGTCTTTGTGGGTTTCCCCAGCATGGTCTTGACCCCTTTACTCATCTCTCCTCCCTCTCTACAATTGGATTCCAGGAGTTCAACTCAGTATTTAGCTGTGGATCACTGCTTCTGCTTCCATCAGGCACTGGATGAAGGCTCTAGGATGGCATTTAAGGTAGTCAGCAATCTCATTATAGGGGAAGTGCATTTAAGGTAGCCTCTCCAATATTGCTTAGATTCTTAGTTGGGGGTCATCCTTGTGGATCTCTGGACATTTCCCTCATGCCAGATTTCTCTTTAAACCTATAATGGCTCCCTCTATTAAGATACCTCTTTTCTTGCTCTCCTCTATTCCTCCCCCAACTCAATCTTCATGGTCCCTCTTGTCCTCCTCCCCCTCCTCTTTCTCCTCCCACCCTCCCCCCTCCCCTTCCCCCACCCTCCCAGTTCCCCACTTCTCAATTTGTTCAGGAGATCTTGTCCCTTTCCCTTTCTCCGGGGGACCATGTGTGTCTCTTGGAGTGACTTCTGAGGGTGTCTGGAATTTGTGTCTCTGTAGCCCAAGCTGTATCTGTATTCTTGGTGCATGTACTCTGTAACTTTATTTTAACGTAACAGGGTCTTTCTCCAGTAGCCCTGGCTGTCCTGGAACTCACAACAATCTGCCTGCCTTTGCCTCCCAAGTGCTGAGACTAAGGGAGTAAGTACACTACCATGCCTGGCCCCTCTGCAACTAAAACACATCAATATTCAGAGATATAGTTCAGGTTTCTTTGTGCACGGAATGCTAGCACATAGGAAATGAACATATCTTACAATACGGATGTGTATTGCTAGAACTGATACACAACAGGGTAGATATGTTTAGTGTGGTTATTCTGGATGTACAGACTAGTTTTCTGAGCCTAAGTGTTTTGGGGCAGGTACTAGAAAAAGATTCCAGATGTGCCAAGTCCTGCCCAATGGGATGGAAATAAAACCCTGTGTTTTTTGAAAAAAGAAAAAAGAAAAGAAAGAATCTCTGTTCTTGTGTACTTGTGAAAACATTCTTTAAGGCCTCTAGTATGATGTAATTTAGAGAATGCATGGGCTACTGAGAAGAACATATATCCCACGGTATTGCACACAATGGTCTAGAAATTTCTGTTAAGTCCCTTTGACTTCTGGTACAATTTAACTCTTCATTTTCTGTTTTCTTAATTAGAATTGCAAATCTTTTGATAACAGTGAGATAGTGAAATCACCCACTATTACTATATTTAGACTTACGTGTCTTTTCATGGCTAGCATTATTTAATGAATATTATGTGCCTTAATATTTGATGCATGAATTTTATACTGCTAGGTTCTTAACATATCCCCTATATGTTAATATGTAGATACATGTGTTGTGACCTGTCTTACCTATTTTAATTTGAAGTAAAGTCTAATCAGATAGAAGTATAACTCTCCAGGACTTGTTTTATTTTCCACTTGCTTGGTATATTGACTTATATCCTTTTTTTTTATCTCTTTGCCAGTGAGAGTGTTAATTATACAAACAACTTAAGTGACTGTTGCTTTAAATACAATCAGTTATTCTTTGCCTTGTAACTAGAGACTTCAGACTAAGGTAGTTATTGGAGGTATTTGGTTATTCTGGTCATTTTCTTTTCTTTTTTTTGAGATTTTATTTATTTATTATGTAGCGTTTTGTCTGCATATATGCATGCATGCCAGAAGAGGGCACCAAGTCTCATTACAGATGGTTGTGAACCACCATGTGGTTACTGGGAATTGAACTCATGACCTCTGGAAGAGCAGCCAGTGCTCTTAACCTCTGAACCATCTCTCCAGTCCCTCTGGTCATTTTCTTGGTTGCTCATATACTTGGTTGATTTATCTGCTCATTTCTTTCGTCTGCATTAGGTGTTTACTTTTCTAGTTTTTATCCATTATACCATTTTACAAAATATTTTTCAAAATGCTGTTATTTTTATGAGTGTTTCACGTGTATGTGTGCATGTGTTTCTGTGGAGTCAACTTCTTCCAGTACCGGGCATGGATAGGATGTTTATACACACATGCAGGGAAAAGCTCACATACATGAAGTAAATAAGGAAATCTTTGTAATTTTTTAAAATTTATTCTTTGGAAATGTGATACATACAAAGAATCATTTTTATTTAAAAATTTCAGACAATGTAGTTCTTTCCCTTCTCCCAACTCCTCCCAGACCCTTCCCACCTTCCAACCTGCCCAACTTCATGTTCTCTGCAAAAACGTTAAAACAAAAACTAAACAAACAAAACAATAAAAAAACACATCAAAGCAATAAAAAAAAAACTCATGCGTTTGCATGCACCCACACGAATACACACAGTCTGTTTTCTGTTGGCCATCTACTCCTGGGCACAGGGTTTGCCCTAGAGCGTGGGGTTGACATACCTAACGACTATTCATTGGAGAAAAGCTGATTTTCCCTTTGCCAGCAGGTATCAAGGGCTTCTTGGTTAGAAGTGGGATGTTGTGTGCACTTGCCCTGTCAGTACCAGGATGTCATCTGGTTTGAATCTTTCTGCCTTGAGCACGCTGCCTGTCTCCGTGGGTTGGCATGTGCGTCAGTCCTGCTTCATAAAGACTTGCCTTTTCCTGGGAGTCATCCTCATACAGTGTTTTTGCCTCGTCTTCCAGAGAGACCCCTGAGCCTTGAGGGGAGGGGTCTGAAGAAGACATCCTGTGCAGGGCTTAGTGATGCAAAGTCTCTCACTATCTGCACACTGTCTAGTTGTGGCTCCCCTAGTTAATTACCAGCAACAAGTTCCTCAGACGAGGGTTCCACCAAGCGCTGGTCTGGTAGAAAGTTCTCCACATCTGAAGCATTTAAGTTTTTTCCAGTGATTTTTTTTACCTTTTGGAATCAGACGACCAGAGGACTTTCCCACATCCGTGCTCTCATCGGTGTTTATCTATTGTGACTCTTCTGATGTTTATAGAGGCCAGAGCTATGGCAATACACTTTGTCACATTCCTTGCATTCATACTGCTTTCTTGTAATATGAACTCTCTTGTGCCTAATGAGGTTGTAATCTGAGGTGAAGACTCTGCCGCACTCATTGCACACACAGGGTGTGCTATGAATTTTTTGGTGTTTCACCAGGTGACAATTTTGCATAAAACACTTCCCACATTCATTGCACTGGAAAGGCCTTTCCCCGTTGTGCACCCGGCCATGATACAAAAGGCTGGACTTTTCCCTAAAGGACTTCCCACACTGATCGCACTTGTAGGGCTTTTCGCCACTATGAAACCGATAGTGACTTGCAAGGCTGACTCTGTTCCTGTAGGATTCCCCACACTGACTGCACTCAAAGGGTTTTTCTCCAGTATGAACACGATAATGACATATTAAGCTCGATTTGTTCCTGTATAATTTCCCACACTGGCTACACTTATAAGGCATTTTCCCACTGTGAGCATTCAGGTGGTTAATGAGAGATCTCTTATAATTGAAGGCTTTGCCGCACTCGCTGCATTTAAAACGCTTTTCTCCAGTGTGGGTTCTCAAGTGCACCGCGAGATGCGCGTTCTGGCTGAAGGATTTCCCACACTGACCGCACTTAAAAGGCCTTTCTCCGGTGTGTATCTTCTGGTGTCGAATAAGCCGGAACTTATGACTAAAGATTTTGCCACAGTCACTACACTTGTAGTTTCTGTTCTCGGAGTGAGCGTCCTCGGCGTCCTCAGAGCGTCTGTGTGGCTGCCCAGCACTGGGGGTCCCCTGAGACTCAAGAGGACTTGAGGCCTCCAGGGAGTCCACCCCTTTGTCTGTGCCTTGTGACATTGTCTCTGACGGGTCACTTCTGCTGGTCTTCACAGCTGGAATCCTGGCCCTTGCTGTTGGTAGGGGTTCGTTATCATAATTCTGCTTCTGCTGTTCGAGTGTGGTTGCATTGACCCCTTCTTCTGCAGAAATACTCTGCTCAACGGCTGATGGCTTGCTCTCCTCTCTGTTCCCACATCCTGAACACAGAGAAATACTAATGAATGGAACAGAGACTACGGAGTGACAGACAACGCATATTGCTACCAATGTTGAGATTTTCCCCAGAATAATGGGGCTAGTTAGGGGTGATAAGGGCCTATTAGCATGCTGACATTGTCAAGATCATCGTGGCTTTCTGTAAGCCTCGGCTACTGGAGATGCAGAGGGCAGCACTAGGTGATCTAGGACCATAAGACATGACAACCAAAGAACCTGCATTCAAGGACTGCTCAGGGTATTTCACACACTAGCACAATCCAGGAAATCCTGTGCTTCACTATTGCAAAGATGGTCCATGGGGAACTGCTTTGGTTTAAAATAACAGGGAAAACTGGGATGGAATCTGTCATTATCCTTTGGCTTGGCACCAAAACATCAGACCCATCAGAAAGACACTTCATATGAACTCATACTGAGTGCGTGTATGAGTAACATCCATCCACCCTCCAAGTACCTGTCCACATACCTGGAGTCAGGAATCTCAGTGCAGGGCTGAAGGGATCTCCTGAAGACTCCAGCTGAGTGATGCCACAGATCTCGGAAGGAACAAGTCCTAAAGTCAAACACAGGACACGTGAACATTCCATGCTAGATAGAACAGAGTGACACGGACCATGACAATCCATGGGAAGGAAACAAGTAAGAATGATCCCAGCAGGAGTGGCTTGCAAGAAACCTCCATCAACCAAAGATCACAGCCGTGTAACAGTCAATGTCAGGGGCTCACCCAGTGTGTGTCACTTGGAGGAGAAAGCAGTAGGTGGGTCATAGGAATGCTGTGTATTTACAGTGTCACTCTGGCCTACCGGTCACCTGGCAGAATGCACTCAGGCAGAATCCTGGTCAGCCCGGGTGCAAAGGACCCCTTTAAAAGAAAGAGCTCCGCCCACTTATGCTGTCTTCTGTTTGCCCCTTCTCTTCCGTTCTCTCTCTGTCCCTTTACCTCTTTTCTCTTTCCTTTCCCCCTCCCCTGTCTAATAAAACTTCTCACTTAAGCTCTGTCTTCCTGGAGTGTTTGTCCCTCCCCCTAGGTCACCCTCGCCTGCCATGGAATCCTCCAAGGTCCCCCATGCACATTATTCCTAACAACCAGACCTTGAGAGCTATAAAGTTGACCTCTATTATGCTCACTATGTGGCTCCTGATCCCACACTGCTTCCTGTGGATCTTTCTGTGCCCAAGAGCAAGAGAAGATGGAAATGGTTCAAGAGAAGATGGAAATAGTTCATGCCCAGGATTATCACTTGCATCCAGGACGGTGGGAAAAGATTCATGGAGCATGGTGTAGCTTTGGGAAAATACATTTCTCCGCGGAAAAGAAGCCAAGCCCCTCAGACATGTTCTGACAAGATGGGTTGCCCTTACCCAATGAGGCCATGATAATGAAGATCTCCGTCATTATTCTGCGGTGCAGGAGCCTCTGAGAGTCATCAAGAAGTGACCATTCTTCCTCTGAGAAGTAGATAGCCACGTCCTTAAATGTCACACAGCCCTGCCACAATGAAGATATATCTGAGTTCATACGAAGCCTCCCTCTTTGGTGCTCTGGCCATCTCCAAGATGGCCATTCCCACTTAGCTTCCTTCCTCAGAGGGTAACCAAGCTCTGAAGCCACAGAAATCCAATCTCTCCAGGTTTCTTGGACTACCGTGTTCAAGAGTCTAATCTAACAGGTAGATGGACAGAAGGAGTCGATCTGTCTTTGCAGTGTGACATCTAAAGGCCCTCGTTTCTATCATACAATTCATATGGATTGCTCTAGATGATCTTACTACGTATGACCAGATTTGTGCCACTGTACTATGCCAAGGCACATGGACTTGGAGGCCATCTATGCACACTCAACATTCACCCATTCTCTATCTGTATTTCTACGTAGCATTCAAGTCCAGGTGCTTAGCCTCTGAGTTATGCACACATTCTGTCTGTCACAAAATCCAACAAAGACCACGGATACCCGTGGATTTCTGAGCATTCTCAATCCATCTCAGTTCCGGGGTTTCTTTCTTCCTTCATTTTCTTTTTTAGTTCCTTGCTTTCTATGATGGTCATCACTGGAATTTTTGTTGTTTATTTTTTGTTTTTGGAGACAGGGTTTCTCTGTAGCCCTGGCTGTCCTAGAACTCACTCTGTACATGAGGTTGATCTTGAACTCACAGAGATCCATCTGCCTTTGCCTCCTGAACGCTGAGATTTATGGTGTCCACCACCATGCCCATCATCATCACTAGAATTTTAATTCCTCTGATTCTTTTAAGACAGTTCTGCCGAAAGTTGGAAACGGTGCTGGCTACTCTTATGTTAACTTGACACAGAAATTAGAGTTATCTGAAGGGAGGGAAACTCAATTGAGAAAATGCCACCATAAAATCCATCTGTAAGGCATTTTCTTAATTGGTGATTGATGGGGGAGGGCCTGGCCCATTGTGGGTGGGTGGTTGTATCCCCGGGTTGGTGGTCCTGGGTTCTATAAGAAAGCAGGCAGAGTGTACTCAGCAAAGGTGTTCCCTCCACACACGATTAATCTTTTGAAGTGTTTTAGCACAGAGTCAGGTGTGGTGGTGCATGCTTTGCATTTCAGCACTCAGGAGGCAGAGGCAGGTGAGTTTGGAGAGTTTGAGGCCAGCCTGGTCTACATCGTGAGCCAGTGTCAGAACAAACAAACAAAAACAGTGTCAATACAAAGACTTGCATGTGCCCTCCGAATGGATGACTCGGTTCACGAATATCCAGCGAAGAATAATACTACACCAGGCATAGAGGCACAGCCTTTAATCACAACACTCCAGAAGCTGAAACAGGTGGGACTCTGAGAAAGAGGCCAGCCTGCTCTACATAATGAGTTCTAGATCAGCCAGGGCTACAGAGTGTGGCCTTGTTGAAACAAGACAAAACAAATACAATAATCAGCACATTAGACATCAAACATCGAATATGCTTTTTAGCAATTATTAGGTGCTTATAATAATGCTATCCGTGATAATATATACACATGTGTGTGTACCTATAAATATGTGTCTATCAATAGAGTCTCATTATGCTTACGTGGCTATCCTTGACTTCACAGAGATCAGCCTGCCTCTGAGTGATGATGAGATTAAAGTTTTGTGCCCCCAAAGCCCAGCCATGCTGTTTTAATTGCCACTGAGTAAGGATAATGACCAGATCCTGTTGAAATGAACACCTTTTTATTTGCTAAGTTCCACAGTCCAGAATCCTACATCCTATGATACACATCAAGATCCCCTGCCCTGCCCTGCTCTGCCGGTTCATGACCCCAGGGCTCTTGTATTCAGGTAGGCCTGGGACCACGTGGCACTTACTTGGGTCTGGGATCCTGGCTCAGCGGCTGCCATCACACTCTGCTGGCTGTCAGGGGACAGGGATCTTTGAACCAAGGTCAACACAAAGGTGTCACAGACTTCAGACATACCTTGGTACCAGAAGACAAAGCTCTTCTTTGGTAACTTCCTGCCCTGGACTACTCAATGTGACACCGATTTTCTGTGGAACTGGGTAACTCAACCAGGAACGTTTTGAAGAGTCTTTTGCCAGCAACGCTTTAAAAAAGAAAGTTTCACACCCCAGGCCTGAATATATCACACCCCATGGCAGGCCTCAGGAGCTGGTGGTCAACACAAAAGGGACTACCCAGGCTTTTGGTGGTGGTGTGTTTATTCAACTGCCTTTTTAAAAAAAATAAACCGAGAAAGTGTATGAAGTTGAGTGTGGGTGTGGGTGAAATCTGGGGGGGAGTTTGTTGTGGAGGGGAAATTATATGACTAATATATTGTATGAAAAATTAAATTTGTTCATCTAGTGAAAAACGGTGTCTCTGTAACGAAAAATAGTTTAGGATCAGATGTCTTGTGCTGCTGGGGGTGATTCCTCACAAAGTTCCTGGATGGGTACAAACTGGTTTACCCTGTATTGACCAGGGCAGGGAGGCAGGAGAGGAGGAAGTCAGACACTCAAGCGACCTGCTCAAGCCTTGGGTAGGGACTGCCAAGTTTTTCTGCCTTGTTCTCCAAGGCAGAAAGGATGCCCGTATCGAGTGAATTCTGAGCGATCCCTAACCCGATTGCTTGATTGTCCCAGGGCGTATGTCATAACCTGGAACACAGGGCCATGATCCCATACAGGGATCTATCCCGGTAGCCCGGTACGGTGAACTTCAACTTTGCCCTCTTTAGGATTGGGGATTTCTCATCTGCATTGAGGCTCATTAAGGCAGTTGGGGACTACAATCTAAATTCCAGGTCTAGGTGGAGACTTGATTTTGTTTTGTTTTGTTTTTCCGAGACAGAGTTTCTCTGTGTCCTGGAACTCACTCTGTAGACCAGACTGACCTTGAACTCACAGAGATCCTCTTGCCTCTCCACCTTGCAAGTGCTAGGAGTCATGGTGTGTGCCACCACTGCCCAGCTGAGAATTGATATTTTAAACTCTGTGTTCTATTACATGTGTCCTTTCCTACTTTAAAATGCCAATCCAGAGGTTAGAGAGAGATGGCTCAGAGGCTGAACGAAGGGTCTTGGTGTGTGAAACCAAAAACAGGAGCCACATCGTTATACATTGTTACTAACCCTCAATGCCTTACAAGAGTAAGTTTCTGTCTCCTAACCCTAATATATCCTGCCAACCATGTTTGTCAACCTATGCTGAACTTGTGACCCGATGATGTGAGCCTACCTCTTTGCCTTGCTAATCTCCTGAACCTAGGATTGCCCTTTTGCCTTAGGAAAATGTGTCTTCCCAGACACCTTGTTGACTTCCCTGTCACATGACACATTCTTGCACTTATCTACCCCACAGGCAGCGGTGAGCCCCGAGTCCCCCAGGTGCTTGAGCCCTGAGTTCCCCAACTCTCCTGTCCGGGTGCTAATGGCCAATTACCTCCACAGCTTTTCTCTATCAACCCCAACCCGTCCCAGGAAAAGGGACCTCAAATGCCAATGAGGTTCTGTTCTCTGGAATCCCAGCTTTGGGAGTGGCAGCCCAGCTGGCTAGTCTACTAAAACAGGAATTAGTTTTTCTCAGGTCTAACAGCCACTCTTGCAGAGGACCCAGGTTCAGGTCCCACGGGCACATCTATCCAGGGTATCTGTTGCCCTCTTCTGGTTCCCACGGGCACACAGGTGTCCACTCTTACACAGGCACCAAAGATTCATACACATAAAATAAGTAAATCCTTCTCAGGGTTGATCCAACTGGGCTTGTCAGTCATCTGCCCAAGAGCAGTTCTAACTCTTTCAGCTGGAATTCTCAATCCCTAAGCAATCTAGGTCCCCTGAGGAGATTCTAAGATGAGGTGGCACTGAGTGTCTGAAACTGTCCTCCGTAGACTTCGCCCGCACAGACACATTTCCCAGCATCCCGCAGAGCCTCTCTTCTTACTTAGAAAAGCAGCCCGGCTGGCTTTGCTCTCCTGGCCAAAGACTGGGTGGCCTTTTCCAGACACTTAGTCTTTTCTTGTTGGTTCCTCAACCCACATCCCTTCCAGCACGAAGCCACTGTGTCCACGAACTCGCTTTAGGGTCTCCATTAGAGGAACAGGACAGCGCCACTCAGACTCAAACATAGCTTCCCGTACGTTTTCTTCTGGCAGCTTCTGGGAGTTACAGTTTGTCTTATCCGCTAAAGTTTTTTGTTCGTTTTTCTTCTTACCAACCCTGGGAAATTGGCTTTGAACTTTCTTTCTAGTCTATTTCATGTATGTATATACATATATATATATATATTTTCATGTATGTATATATATATATTTCATGTATGTATATATATATTTTTGTTTTACATTTTCTTTGCAACCCTCTTTACGTTTTTTCATTTTCTGTATGCTCACAGTTGGGAACGAGGGTCAGATGAATCTCCTGGCATGCAGGTTGTCAGGCTTGGTGGCCGGCAACCCCCCCTCGGCCCCCGCCCCTAGAACCGTCTCACAAGCCCCTAAGTTGTTTTGTTTCTTCTTTTTTTTTCCTCTGTAGATTGTATTTTAATTTACATTAGTGTTTGTGAGCAAGAGTGGGCATGCATATGTTTGCCTCCAGGGGCAATGGGACTTGGATCCCCAGGAGCTGAGGTTCCTGGCAGCTATAAGCTACCAGGACTAGGTGCTGGGAGCTGCACTTTGTCCTCGGAGAGAAGAAAGCATTCGTGACCATGGGGCTATCTCTCCAGTAGCAGCCCCACCCCTGGTTACTTATTTATTTGTGGGTGGGACTTATGTTGTAGCCCTGGCTATCCTGGAACTTGTAGAGCAGAGTGGCCTTGAAATCAGAGATCTTCTTCTCTGTCTCCCAAATGCAGAGATTAAATGCATGTACCACATCTGGCTTCATCCATCCATCCATCCATCCATCCATCCATCCATCCATCCATCTATACTAAGAGAGGGCTGGAGAGACTGCTCAGTGGTTAAGAGCACTGGTTTTTTCTTCCAGAGGCCCTGGGTTCAATTCCCAGTACTTACGTGGCAGCTCACAACTGCCTGTAACTCCACCTCCAGGGCATCTGACCCCTCACACAGGCATTCATGCAGGCAAACCACCAACACACACAAAGTAAAAATAAATAAATAAATAAAAAAGACTAAGAACCCAGAGATGGGCACAGCTAAGCGCGTGTGAGGACTAAAGTTGTGTTTTAAGTTCACATCACTGTGCTTAAGAAATCTATAAAGCTGGACATTGGTGGCGCATGCCTTTAACCCCAGCGCTCGGGGAGGCAGAGGCAGGCAGATCTCTGTGAGTGTGAGGCCAACCTGGTCTTCAAAGAGAGTTCCAGGACAATCTCTAATCCTACAGAGAAACCCTGTCTCGAAAAACCAAAAAAAAAAAAAAAAAAAAAAAAGAAATCTATAAAAACAAAAATGCCTCTAACTTGTAAGCCTCACTTGTCCAAGGACCAACAAGTTCCTAGTATGTCGGGGGCTGTTGTTCATGGAAGATAACAAGAAGACGCATGTTTCCATGTTTGTGAACACAGTTGGCTGCCCCATCACACCTAGCTGGGAGGTACCCAGGCAGGAAGGAGAAGCGTGTCAAGATGCCCACCTGTCACCAACTGGTTGAGGGCAGGAAGGATGTGGTCTTGTCGTTCTCGCCTTTATAAATCTCTGACTAATGTAATTTGGTGCCGTACTCTGGGAATCCCGGGTATGGACATGGCCACTATCCGTCATCCTGGCCAAATCTGACTCAAAAATTGTGCTCGTGGTCTTATTCTTGCCCCATGGGATTAACAGAAAAGCCTTCAAAGGCTTTGGGAAGAAGTAGCCCTCAAGGAGAGGCTGACCTTCAGCTTCTGAAGTCCTCTCCTCTCTCTATGTGTTTGCTGCACCTATTTCCTCATCCCTAGGAAAAAACTTTCTGACTGGCTGATGCTATCTGCTCATGACTGCCACGCTTAAAAGTTTCCACGCTGCTACCTGTATGACTGGAGATTTTTTCCCAGCCTTTTAATTCTTTTAAGTGAGAGAAAACAAAGCTTGCTTCAAACTGTGCTCAAATGTTGTGGTAAGATCTTATTCTCGCCCGGTGTTGGTGTCCATACAATCCCAGCGCTCGGGAAACTTGGGTTTGGAGAATCAAGAGCCTGAGGCCAGCCAGGCACACAGCTCTGTCATAAAACACTCAAGGACAGACACGGAAAGGAAATGGACTTTGCTACTTGTCCTCAGACATATGAAGTCAAGTCAAAACATTGCTAAGTGCAGTAGCACTCACCTCAATCCCAGAATTCAAGAGGCATAGACCGGCAGATCTGTCAGTTCTGACCTAGTCTACATAGAGTTCCAGGCTAGTCAGGGCTATAAAGGGACATCCTACCTCCCTCCCCAATAAAGGCAAAAACAAACAAACCCCACACTCATGTACATAAAAATTTAAAACAATACTATAGAACTATGCTGGGGAATATGCTCTCTCTCTCTCTCTCTCTCTCTCTCTCTCTCTCTCTCACACACACACACACACACACACACACAGAGAAAACCAAGAAAAGCACAAAGTTTGAAGGGTCACTCTTCAAAATCATACATATGTACATGCCTTTAATGTCACCACTGGGAAGGCAGAGGCAGGTGGATCTCTCAGTTCAGCAAGTTTCAGACAGCCAGTGATACACAGAGAAATGCTGTCACTAACCCATATAAAACACAGAATGAGACAGTGCTGCTTAGGAGCACCTGCTGTCTTGCAAAAGGCTTAGGGTTCAACCCAGAACACACACACACACACACACACACACACACACACACACACACACACACACACACACACACACAGCCACTCACAGTCATATGGAAGTCCAGTTCCAGGAGATCCAATGACTTACTTCCTCAGGCATCACGCCTGCATTCAGCACACACACAGACACACAGGCAAACACATAAATGAAAGCATTTGGGTTACACTTCAACATGCGATCACAGGGGGACACCATGGAGCTCAAAACTAGCAAGAATCAGGGCTAGAGAGAGACCTCAGTGCTGAAGAGCACTGTGGCTTTCAGAGAACAGTGGTTTCGTTCTGAGCATTGATACTGTGATTCACAACTCTGTCCCTCTAGTTCCAGGGGGAGAATATGCCCTCTTTTCACCTTTGCAAGCACCAGACACACGTGTGATGACATACATAGACATAAGTAGTATGTGGGCGGACATACAAATATGCAACCAAACACACACACACACAAAAATGAGTGCAGGGTGGTGGCGGCACATGCCTTTAGTACCAGTACTGGGGAGCCAGAGACAGGCCGACCTCTGTGAGTTCCAGAGGCCAGCCTGGTCTAGAGAGTGAGATCCAGGACAGCCAAGGCTATCCAAAGAAACTCTGTCCTGGGGGGAGGGGCGGAGAATCTAACAACAGAAACCCAGCTGAAATTCGGGAGCCCAGAAGAAAAACCTCTGAAAACAGTCATGAAAGACTACAGAGGGGGAGAGCAAACATTTATTCAGGGCACTGTAACACTGAGTAAGAACGAGAAGTCACGTGTCATTACAAACCCAAGGCCCTTCTGTCCCCGCCCCTAGCCAAACTGAGCCACATGGAAACTCCGCTCCAAACTCCACAGTCAAGAACAGAGCTCCCTCCCTCTCTTTTATCTCCCTGGCATCCACTTCTTGGGAAGAGATCTACGAGAGGAGGACAGATCAATGGGCGTGTCTCTCACGGGGGGGGGGAGGCACTCTCCTAACTTCTGAGGTCACGGGTTCACGACATACCCTAGTCCAGTGACCAACCTTTCATGAATTGGAGGTGTGTATGAATGGTGCTGACATCTGCTCTTTTGTCAACGCTCCTTTGGTCCCACTGGGATGTCAGGTGTGCATTTAGATGGCCAAGGGACTTCCGACTTTGGGTTGCCCTTGTTGGACCTTCGTTTATCGAGCGTGAACCTTCCGGTGTTTATACAGGCTAGAGCTACTGCAATACACTTTGTCACACTCCCTGCAGGCGTACTGCTTCGCTACAATGTGAACTTTCATGTGTCTCACGAAGTTGTAACTTGAATTGAAGACCCTCCCGCACTCACTGCACTTAAAGGGCTTGCCATGGACAGTGAGGTGTTCAATGAGGTCAGAGTTTTGGGTGAAATACTCCCCGCACTCACTGCAGCCGTAGGGCTTTTCTGCAGTGTGGCTGTAGAAATGGTTCAGGAGGCCTTCCCGGCTTCTGTACGATTTCCCACACTCGCTGCACTCAAAGGGCATTTCTCCCGTGTGGAACCGGTAATGGACTTTAAGGCCTTCCCTGCTCCTGTACGATTTCCCACACTCGCCGCACTTAAAAGGCATTTCTCCCGTGTGAAGTCCCTGATGGGAAACGAGGGAGATGTTGTGCTTGAAGGCTTTGCCACACTCGCCGCACCTATAAGGCTTCTCCCCAGTGTGCATTCTGAAATGCTTAATGAGAAAGGCTTTCTGGCTGAAGGACTTCCCACACTCGCTGCACTGGAAAGGCTTTTCTCCCGTGTGTATCTTCCAGTGCCGGTTAAGGTGAGATATACTAGTAAAGACTTTGCCACAGTAAGTGCATTTGCAGTTTTTCTTCTCGGTGGCAATGGCCTCTCCACTCACAGTGCTCCTGGATGCCTCCCCACCACTGGAAGTCACCTGATGCCCGAGGAGACCCGAGGAAGTCTGGAGGACCATCGCATTGTCTGCCCTTAGCAAGGCTGCCTCAGCATGTCGGAGCATGGATGAATTAAGGTCTCCTTCCACAGAAAGACTCTGCTCAAAGGGGGGGGTTTCACTCTCCACTTTGATCCAACAACCTGAACAGTGAGAGACACTGATGAATGGCGTGGAGACTGTTGAGTGACAGACAGACAGCGCATATCACTAACAGTGTTCTGAGATTTCTCACAGAACACGGGGGCTAGTTCAGGGTGGCGAGGACCCATCGCCATGCTCGATTTGTCAGTGTCACAGGGCCTAGGGACGTCAGGGACAGCAAGAACGCAAGCATGGAGTGAATAACGGGGAGAAGGGCTGCGAGCCTTAACGCTGTCCTCAGCAACAGCTCTCTACAAGCATCAGCTGCTGAAGATGCAGGACACAGTGCAGGAGGTTGTCTAGGCCCCCAAAGACATGGTGACTGCAGAATCTGCAGTCAAGGATTGCCCTAGATATAATACACTCTAGCAACGGGCAAAACACAACATAAGAGACTGAACCAAGAGGGGGCAGTCCTGGTTCTAATATGTGCATACACCTACAATCTCCACTCTAGTAGTACCTGTCCACAAGCATGGAGTCGTGAATCTCAGTGCAGGCACGGAGAGATCTCCACAAGACTCCACCTGAGTTATGTCACTGATCCCAGAAAGCTCAAGTCCTAAAGGAAAATGACACAAGAGGTGAGTGTTCCGGACAAGGACTGGCTGATCCTCCAGCCCTTAACAGTCCAAAGTAAAAACACCTAATGAGAACAATCGCTATAAGAGTGTCTCGCGAGAGAAATAAATACTGAGCCCACCCCTGCCACAATTCCTGCCACCTGCAGACACAGGCATGCTACCTACAAGGAGACACAAGTATCTGCGTCACAGAGATGCCATGGCATCACCTCAAGGAAGACTGATCACTGTTGAGACTCCCAACCACCTAGTGATGCATGCCATTAATCCCAGCACTTGGAAGGCAAAGGCAGGAGGATCTCTTTGCGTTCCAGACGGCTTGGTTAATACTGTGAGTACCAGGAGCTCTTCCATAACCCGCCACAGAGACAAATATTGTCACCTCAAATGATTTGTTTGCCTTTACTGTTCTTAAGAGAGAAAATGTATTGTGTAACAAGCTGTGTGTATAACCTGCACTTTCAACTACAGGACAGTGTGGGGACAGACAGTGTTCACAAGCCACCTTTGAGAAGGATACGTCTCTTTGTAGGAAAAAAAAAATCTAAGCCTGTACAGACATGCTTTAACAGCATTGGGGGGGGGCTTACTCAGCGAGGACACAAGTTCGAAGATGTCTGTCATGACAGTCTGGTACAGGAGCCTTTGCGAGTCGTCAAGCAGTTTCCATTCCTCCCAGGAGAAGTACACAGCCACATCCTCAAAGGACACACAGCCCTGCCACAACGGGAAAGTTGAGTTTATATGAAGCCCCTTCTCAGGGACTCTTGTCATCCTCAAGACAGTCATTCCCACCTAGATTCCTACACCAGAGGGTACCAGGCTCTGAAGCTATGACATCGAGTCTGTCTTCAAGGTCCCACCAACCACTCTGGTCAGCACTCAGCAAGAACAGGCAGGTGGACTGATGGTATCTTAGTTACCTTTCTATTACTGTCAAGAGACACCACGACCAAGGCAGTTTACAGAACAAAGAGTTTATTGGGGGCTTACAACTCAGAGAGTGAGCCCATGACCCTCACAGCAGCAGGCATGCATGGCACTCGTACAGTAGCTGACAGCTTACATCCTGAACCATGGGTACCAGGCAGAGACAGCTAACTGACAATGGCATGGGCTTTTGAAACCTACAAGTCCATCCCCAGTGACACACCTCCTCCAGCAAGGCCACACCTCATAATCCTTCCCAAACTGTTCCACCAAGGGGGACCAAGTGTTGAAGTCTATGAGCCTATGGGGGGGCATGTGCATTGAAACCACCACAGCTGGAGTCAATCCCAGCTTCAAGGGTGCCACGAACAGTCCCTCCTTTCTAGCAGAGGATTCACGTAGGCTCCCCCAATCATCTGCCTCACACAGATCATATTTGGGTCACTGTCGTCCACTATGTCCCGGGCAGGAAGGCCAGGAAGCATCTACACACACTCTCACAGCTCACACAGCCGTCTTCACACCGAACTTCCATTCCCATCCCAGCATGCAAGCCCAGCCCTCAGCTACCGTGTAACCCCCAGCTCCCACCTTCCAGCTAATCCTGCAGACCTCATGCACACCTCAGGATTCCCCAGCCTTCCCGACCCATCTCCCTTCCAGGCTCCCTCCAATGCTCATCCCTGGAGCTTTAGGACCTCTGAAACTCAAGCCAGTGACTGCCATGAATGGAAACCTGGCCACGCATTCCCTGCTGTGGACATGGGGACCTTACAGCCTGAGCACCTGCCCGGGAAATCCAATGGGAGCAGAGAGAGAACGCCGAGCAAAGAGTCCCCAGACCCCACCATCACAGAGGTCTCTTCTGTGAAGACCGAGGAGTGTGACTCCTGGGCACCCTCCGCTTACCTCTTCCTGGTTGGGAGGCTTCATTGAATAATGGGAAACCTGTAGAGAAACAAGACTGTAGGTAACAAGCGAGGGTGCTGGTCTCCCAAAGGTTCATCCAGGTCCCTCTCATCACTGCAGTTGGGCATACCCAGCTGCCCCCTGGGCTGCACCCCTCAATGCTGTCCCTTACTGGGTGACCATGGACAAGCAATCAGTCTCCTCAATTTGTTCTTTGAGGATACGAATGGCAGCTTGCCTGTCTTATTTACCGTTCTATTGCTGTGAAGAGACACCATGACCCAGGCAACTCTTATAAAAGTATTTAATCGGGGTGGGAAGCAGAGTGGAGAGAGAGAGAGAGGGAGGGAGAGAGAGAAGCAGAGTGGAGAGAGAGAGAGAGAGACAGAGACAGAGACAGAGAGACACAGAGACAGAGAGAGAGAGAGAGAGAGAGAGAGAGAGAGAGAGAGAGAGAGAGAGAGAGAGAGACAGAGAGAGAGAGAATTTGACAACGGCAAATTTTCTCAGCTACACACTTCCAACCAGGCTACACCTCCTAATCTTTCTCAAACAGTGCCACTCCCTGGTGACTAAGCACTGAAACACATGAGCCTATGAGAACCGTTCTCCCCCAAACCACCACACACAGTCCTAGTCCAAAAGGAAAACCATTGCATCAAAGTCAGTCCTACGTGTCAAGGCTCAGTACAGGCTCTTCCTGGGCACATGACTGATGCTTGTCTCAAGAGCTTCACAAACACTTAAACAATCATTTCAGAATGCATGCATGGTTTTATCTACACACATTTAGTTACGAATTTAGCAGCCCACTTGTAGTGGGTGGTCCACGCTGTTAATCCTACAGAGAAACCGAGTGTGTGTGTGTGTGATTTAATTTTAGCCAGGTATAGTGGGGCACTCCTTTAATTGCAACACATGAAAGGCAAAGGAAAGTAGGTCTCTGTGAGTCTGAGGCCAGCATGGGCTACATAGGGCAATCGGGGTCACATGGAGAATTCAAATTGGGTACATAGTAACAGTTAACACAGTAGACTTTACTCAAATGATGAATGTTTTCACATTAAAAAAAAAAGGAAAGGGAAGTACTTCTTTTTTAATCTATCAGAGAGGCTGGAGGTGGAGGCCTTGCCTTTAATCCAATCACTCTGGATGGGGCTTTGTGAGTTTGTGGCCAGCCGCACCTACATGGCGAGGTTCCAGGACAGCCAGTACTGTCTCCGAAGGGGAAAAGAAATCTATCAGATATCTGAAGACTGCTCTACACCCCCAACTCCTGCATTAGTCCACAGGATAAACCTCCATCCACAACACCTTCTCCATACCCAGTATTCCTCGGGGAGGTTTGGAAAACTCCGAATAGATAGATAGTCTCTCCTCCATTCAGATCTTCCGCCACCCGCAGCATCCACAGATAAAAGCTCCTCAGGAGCACTGCGTCCTCCCCCCCCGCCCCATCTAATGCCAGCAGGGGTCACTCCAGGGTTTCTGTCTTTGAGCTCGCGCGGGCCTGCAAGCCTTTGGATGCACTAAGCATCTACTACTAAGCGTTGTGAGTCAGAGGGAATCGCTAGCTAGCATTTAAACGTCAAAACCATAACCTCGTCCACCAGTGCCCTACAATCGGGGACACCGGGCCTGCCCTGACCCAGATCTCAAAGCTCTAGAACTCAGGTAGGCGGGCGATCACGAAGCACTCACCTGGGGCAGGGCTCCACCCGAAGCCTCCACGATCACCATCGGGCTCCACAGGATGGTGGGGCCCTGGGACATGGCTTATCCCCGCTCCAAGCCTGGATCAGGTCACACGGGTGGTCACAAACCTCGGGTCCGTCTCTGTGATCAAGGAGAAACGTTTCTAACGCTCCGGTTTTCTTGTCATGGCCAACGCAGACGAAACCAGCTTTCTGTGAGCCATACTGACGGGTCCAGGAAGTTACAAAGAATCTCCTTCACATAAAGCCCAAAGTCCCGCCCAACGGTCTCGGTCGTCGCAGAACTACCGATTTTCATTGGCTGAGCTTCTTGCAATGCTTTCTGGGCAATGTAGTTCAAAAAGGATCCACTGTCAGCTCAGGACACAAACGCCTAGATGGAGACGACTCAGGTTCCCTGGACTTCATGGACATAGTGTGGATAATAGTGTAATTATAGACACGGCAATATTTGGGTGTGGGTTATGAATAGTAGGGGGTGAGCTACAAGGCCGAGCTTGCTGGAACTCTTCTAAATTCCAGAACTGCAGGCAGAGGCAGGGCTCTGTTTTAGAAGCCAGCCTGTCTTGTCATTCTGTGTTCCAGGCCAGGGGGGGCTACATAGTGAGACCTCGTTGTTTTGTTTAATGCTTAGAAATGCATGACATAGGGCAATGTTGTCTTTTGCATTTGAGACCTTCACCTTGTGTGACATGGCCCCTGCCAGTCAGTAACGGTAACCATGGAAGAGGACAAAAAGGACATACTTGGGATTCCTTCACCACGGGTTTCTAGTTTCAGGCTTCTCTCCCAACCCTTCTCCCATCAGCTTTTTGGTTTGTTTGTTTGTTTGTTTGTTTGTTTGTTTGCTTTGAGACAGTTTCTCCATGTAGCCCTGGCTCTTCTGTAACTCTTCTTTAGACCAGGTTGGCCTCGAACTCACAGGGGTTGAAGGCGTGTGACACCATGCCCGGTGACGCTTCTCGTTTTTTGCACACCAGAGTGGAGTCGTCAGGAGTAACTTTTTATGGTGCATGCCCATTGCTGAGGGAAACTGAGAGAGGACTCAGTTTTGGAAACAGCCTTGCTGTGACACTGTAGATGTGCTTCTGAAGGAAAGATTTGGGCAACAGCTGCTCTGGGAAACTGGAACACTGGCGCATCTGTAACCATGACAGCACCAGCAGGAGTCCTGCTAATTTCTTCTTTTTTTTTTTAATTTTTAAAGGTTTGTTTATTTATTACATATATAGTGTTCTGCCTACAGGCCAGAAGAGGGCGCCAGATTGAATTGTAGATGGCTGTGAGCCACCATGTGGTTGCTGGGAACTGAACTCAGGACCTCTGGAAGAGCAATCAGTGCTCTTAACCTCTGAGCCATCTCTCCAGCCCTCTGCTAACTTTTTGTATATGGCTTCTGCATGGTCCACTTTTACTTACAACTGCCATGGTCTCCATAGTGCATGCTCTCTGAACTACATTACCCAGAGGAGACTGCGCAGAAACGCCGGAAGGTTAGCCAGGCACAGTGGCACACACTTTTAATTTCAGCACTTGAGGAGGCAGAGAGGCAGAGTCAGTTGAATCTCTGAGTTCAAGACCCACCCTCTCTACGGAGTGAATTCCAGGACAGCCAGTGCTACACAAGAAACACTCTCTCGGTGCCTGAACAGGCCTTTCCCTTTAATCAGATTAATGACTGCCCTAATTGTCATCATAGAACCTACGTCCAGTAACTGATGGAAGCAGACGCAGTGACCCTCAGCAACTCCTGGAGTTCAGTTGAAGAGAGGGAGGACATATGAAGCGGGGGTGGAGGGTGGGGAGTGGGGGAGGTGTGGGGGAGCTTGGGGTAGAGGGTGGGGGCAGAGCATGATGGGGAAAATCATGGAGACCGCTGACCCAAGCTAGTGGGAACTCTCAGACTCTGGATTGACAAGCGGGGAAATTGCATGGGACGGAACTAGATCTTCTGAATGTGGATGGCAGTTATGTGGCTTGCTCTGTTGGGGGCTGGGACTGGCAGTGGGACCAGGACCTATCTCGGGTGCATGAACTGGCTTTTTGGAGCCCATTCCCTATTACAGGGTACCTTGCTTGGCATTGATACAGTGGGGAGGGGCTTGGTCCTGCCTCAAGTTGGTATGCCAGACTTTGTGGACTACCCAAGGGAGGCCTTAGCCACTCTGAGGCGTGGATGCAGGAAAGAAGGGGAGGGAGGGGGAACTGGGATTAGTATGTAAAATGAAAAAAAAAATTAAAGAAAGAAAGAAACCTTTCTAAAAGAAAACCAAGAAGGTGGGAGAGGCTAAGAGTCTTGTCCTCTGGCATCTAGACGGGTCTGAAGTCTGCACCGCCGTGGAGAGTCTGGCTCTAAGCCTTGGGTAGGGAAGTCCCTGTACATGTGCAGCCCAGTCAGTTGGTCTGGGAACTCTGGATGAGGTGATAAACGATCCCCGACCTACCTGATTGTTACAGCACCCTGGGATCCTGGGCATAGGGCTGCCATTCCTGATGTGATCAGTTTTTATTTTATTTTATTTTTACTCTTTTAAAAACGGTATGTACTTTCGGTGCCAATGCTGCTCCTGTAAACATGGTGAATATTTCTAAAACCCGTTGGACTTTCTACAAGGATGTGGCAAGCACCAGCTCCGCAAAAACTTCACAGGACCAAAGGACAAGGAAAACGGCCTCATGGCAGAACAGCAAATGGTGGGCAGATGAAGTCTGCTTTCTTCAGCAAGTCAGAAATAGCACCTGGTGCTCTTAAGTCCTGAGCCATCTCAGCAGTTCCTCCGGGGTTTTGTTTGTTTCTCTTGTTACCCAGTGGGTTAAACCAGGACCATGTGTTAGCCATCTATTTGAAGCTGTTCACTGGAGCATCTTGGTCTCAACAGTGGGTAGACAACCAATAATTCCCCTTCTCCCAAAATCTACCCACAGCCTATGGTTCTGCAGTGAAAGGTGGGCACCCCTGAAAAACTCCCCATTGATGGTCCCATTCTTGTGCAAACAATGGGCAGGTGACAGAAGACTGTGTGGCGTTGTTCTTGGGATCACTATGTCTTGCCCAGAAGATGACATCTCACAAACCTTCCAATCTTCTAGCTCTTACGTTCTGTCTCCTCTTCCTCAGTGTCCCTTAGCCTGCCAGGGACGAGGCTAAATGCCTTGTCCAGGGCTGAACATTCACCTGTGATTTCTCATCAGCCCCTCAAGCAAACAAGAGGCGCTTCTTCATCTGCTCAAATTCACTTCATAGAGGGACTTCTCTCATTAAGGGTGACAGTAGCATTTGTCTATGAATATAGACATGTAGTTAGTAGTCAGTTCTATGCTCTGTCTGTGAGCTAAGCAGCAGTATTAAATTCTGGTCTGGGGCCTGTGATCTCCCCAATCATGGGTTTTTGCCTGGGTTAACAGACCCAGGCATGGCTTCCCTACCGGGGAGTGGGACTACATCTCCTCAAAGAGTTGTTGCCCACCCCCAAGTCATACCAGTATTCCACAAGTATGCATATCTTGCCTACCGGAAGCAATCGGTTATTAAACAAAAGCCCCAATACTGAGGGTGAGACACCTCCTTATGAGTTGTTAGCCAGGGAAGCCCATGGAGGCATCCAAAAAATTACAAGCTTCTGTCACCCCTCTTGGCTGCCCACCAGTTGGTGTTGTTTGTTTGTTTTTTGAGACAGAGGCTCTCTCTGTAGCACTGGCTGGCCTGCAACTCATGATAAAGACCATGCAACCACAAGCTCTGAGATCCACCTGCTATGGCTGGAATTAAAGGCACGTGCTACCACCCCTACTGGAGTCATTTTTTAAAAATAGATTAATCTGTGTGTATTTGTGTATGCGTGTGCATCTGGGTGTGTGCACTTGGTCCAGCTGCAGTGTCTCCTTCACCGACTCCCTGCCCAGAAACATGAACCAGATAATATAAATCTCAAGTCCCTATCATCTTAAACATTTCATCGTATCAATGAGAAAAGTAACTAGGAAAGCTCTCATAGCTATTAGCCCTCATTTGTGATCCTGTCTATTATGTTATTGTGTATCTGTTATTAGAATAAGTATCTTATGTGTTTCTTTTCCCTTTTCTCTCTCTCTCTCTCTCCCTCCCTCCCTCCCTCCCTTTAAAATTATTCAGCAGGGTTTCTTTATATGCCCCTGGCTGTTCTAGAACTCTATATAGATCAGTAGGCTGGCCTCAGATTCAGAGATCTGCCTGCCTCTGCCTCCCAAGTGCTGGGGGGGCGGTGGGAAGGGGTATAAGCCAAAGCCCACATTGTCCTGCAGCAAGTGGTATGTTCATTTGCATTTGACTTTTAAGAATTTTTAAATTTTCCCCCTGATTTCTTTATTGATCCTCGGGTCACTCAAAAGCAGTGCTCAATTGCTTTTCTTTGCATAGTTTCTAGTGCTTTTTACTTGTTTATTTATTTTTGCTATTGACATTTACTTATTTCACTGTGAAACTAGTAGATACAAGTAATAATTTTGATTCTTTTGTATTTGTTAAGTTCTCATTTACAATGGGCATAGTGGGGCACACCTCTAACTGAAGCACTTGTGAGACCGGGGACCCGTCAACAAAGAGAGTTTCAGGACAGTCAGGGTTGTTACTTAGAGAAACCCTGTCTGGAAAAACCAAACGAAACCAACCAAACAAAAGACATAATTTATAGTTCACAATGTGATCTATGTTAGAAAATGCTTCACCAGCTGCAGACAATTTATCTTCAATAGTTGTTGATCCCAAATATTCTCTTTTTGAAAGTTTTTAATGTGTATAAGTATTTTTCATACATATCTGTCTGTGGACCATTCCCATCTCTCCAGCCCATCTGCAATAGTCTGAAGATCTCTTGCAATTTAATTATTCCCTTTTGTTTTTAAATTATTTTTATATCTAGGGGACAGATATTTTCGATGAATATGAAGTATAAGTCACCCACTATGAATGTCTGTGTGTTATTTACCTGTTTATGTCTAGCAATGTTTGTTTTAGAAAATCGCGTACGTGAATAGGTGCATATATATTTATTATTCCATGTTCTTAACAAATCGGTCCTCGTATTATGTTGTAGTGTGTTTTATCTAATCCAGCCTTAAGTAAAGTATAAGTTACCAGATGTAAGTTTAACTACGCATGGCTAGCTTGTGTCTTCCATGTGCTTTGCATATTATCTTACATCTTTTATTTTCCATCTCTTTGCCAACGATTTATTTGTTGGAGACAAAAAAAAAATGGCGAGATCTTGCTATGAACCTATGCAGTGGGTCTTTGTCCTATAACTAGAGAGCTCAGACTAATAGTAGATAGGCTATTTACTGGGGACTATTTGTTGATTCTAGTAATTTTGTTGGGTGCTTATGTTTAGTTGGATTGTTTATTCATTTCTTTCTCCTCTATTTCTTCTCAGAATGTGCTGGTTTCATGAGTTCCACACGACTGACTTTTTCCTGGTTCTCCTTTAGCTCCGTCTCTTGCTTGTACACTCACGATCGAGAAGGTCTTTCTTCAAACAGAGCATGTTGATGCATGGCTGTAACCCCAGGACTTGGGATCTGAAGGAAGGTTATGCATTCACGATCATCGTCAGCGATAGACTGACACACGTTAGTGCAGTGGTTCTCAACCTGTGGGTCTGGACCCTTTTGGGTGTCAAACAACCCTTTCACGGGGGTCTCCCAAGACCGTTGGAAAACACAGATATTTACATTACAATGTATAACGGTAGCAACGTTAGAGTTATGAAGTAACAACACAAGCAATCCTACCTATGGTTGGGGTCACGACAGCATGAGGGACCGAGTTAAAGAGTCACAGCACTCGGAAGGCTGAGAACCACTGCTTTTGTGTGTGCTTTATGTCGTTCTATTTTCTTTCATGTATTGAGGCCTGCTTGTTGCTAGGCTTTACCCACAAATGTCTCCTTTTCATTTGCTACTGCAGGGTCCCGCCGCTGTCCCTGGAAAGCACTCAGCTGGGGGTAAAGCCCAGGGCATACCAGGCAGAAGTACAAGACCCCCCCTCTCTCACATCGTACCACGGGCCTCTGCAGGGGGTCCTGCCTCCAGTCTGGGAAAGCATGAAAGGAGAGAAGTCTGTGCAGACACTGGAAGATCCTGTGTCACACGCCTCTGTTCATAGGCATAGTTATACCCTGTATATTAGGGATAAATATGCCTACACCTTCATGATTAGAGAATTCTCAACTCTTTAGAGGAACAAACCCTTAAGTCAGCAAGTTGACTAAATGCCCAAGTCTTGAGGGATCAAAGGAAATAGCTGGGTATGTTGACATTCAGACAGTCTCAGTTCTCAGGAGATTCTGCTGGGGTGGGGTGGGGGTGGGGGGAGAATCAAGAGTTTGAGGACCTCCTGGGATCAACAGTGAGACCTTATTACAGAATAAAAAGAAAAACCAAAACCCACAGACTTTGAGATTTTTCACAGGAATATCAAAAACTTTCAAAACGATAACAGAAAATAAGGGTTTTTTTTCTTTCGTATTCGTGTGTGTGTGTGTGTGTGTGTGTGTGTGTGAGAGAGAGAGAGAGAGAGAGAGAGAGAGAGAGAGAGAGAGAGGAAAGAAGGAAGAAAGGAAGGAAGGAAACACGAATCAGGAGAACAGAGAAAGAGAGAAAGACTCACTGGCTAACAGTAGTTGCTATTCTTGCAGATAACCTTGGTTCCATTGTCAGCATTGACTAGAAATTCACAAAGATCTACAATTCCAGTTCAAGGGCTGCTGCTGACTACTCTTACCTGCAAGGGGACCAGACGTACATGAGGTCCACATACATACATGGAGGCTTTGACATAAACCCACAAAATTAAACAAATCTTTATGATAACAAATGATGACAACACAAAATTAAAACTACAATTATACGCTGTTACATAGATATTAAAACGATTCATGTGAACACCTCACAACTTATAAAGGGACGATATGATGAGTTGGTATCTGAAATACTTCAGGAGGAAGTCTGAAACATACAGTTTAACTTCTTTAAAACTTAAAACTTGGGGCTGGAGAGATGGCTCAGAGGTTAAGAGCACTGGCTGTTCTTCCTAAGGTCCTGAGTTCAATTCCCAGCACCACATGGTGGCTCACAACAATGAGATCTGGTGCCTTCTACTGGCCTGCAGGCAGACATACAGACAGAACCCTGTGTAGATAATAAATTAAAAAAAACCAAACTTAACACTTGTGCTTGAGAGAGGACTCAGTATTTAAGACCACTTGCTGCTGTTGCAGAGGACCTGGTTTCCATTTCCAGAAAACACACTGGTTCATAACCATCTATAACTCCACTACCATTTTTGAACCTTGGCAGGCGGCAGGTACCAGGCACCAGGCATGTACTCAGTGTACATACAGATACACAGACAAAATACTCACATCTGAAAAAAAAAGCAACAAACACCTGTTGTGTGAGATTTTGCTTGTATTCTGACAAATAAAGCTTGCCAGGAAATCAGAGCCTGGAGCTAGCCACTAGTAACCATAGAGGTCTGGGGGTCTGTACAAACAGGAGACAGGAAGTGATAAGACTGGGCAGAGAGAGGAAATGATAAGGAGAGGGCGGAGACAGGATCCTGGCCCTTTTAATCTAAAGATTCAAGAGGTAAGTCGTCTCTGGTGGCTGACGCTTTGCTTCTCTGATCTTTCAGCTCTTACCTCGATATCTGAATCTGTTTTTTTTTTTAATTGAAACAGTAATTAGGATCAAACGTCAAACACCTAAAGCATATGGGTTTCACTTTTACATGAAAGGTGGTCCCCAACAAAACTAGTGATACTTAGGAACATGACGGTCATGAAGACTACACAGCAAACATTTATTCCAGGAACTGAACCTTTAAGTGAGGACAGCACAAACAACAGTGCCAATAAAAACCGTGTCTTATTTAAACAGAGACTGCTGTGTTCCTCCTCCATTCGAACTCGGTAACATGGAAACTCCACTATACACTGGCCTGTGTAGTGTGGTCAAGAATACAGGGCTTGGCCTACTGAAGGTGGTGCACGTGCCTTTAATCCCAGCACTTGGGAGGTGGAGGCACGCTCATCTCTGTGTTCGAAGCCAGCCTGTTTTACAGAATGAATTCCAGGACAAGTCAGGGCTACCAAACAACCCCCCTCAACCTCCCCAACCCAAACCAAATCAACAACAAAAACCCACGTACAACAGCAACTACAATAACAACATCACAGGGCTTTTGCTAAGTTTCCTAGAAAGCATCAATTTCTTGGGAATAGGAGAATGACAACAATTCTCATCTTGTCCCAATGTTCTTATTTGAGTAACTTTCATTGAATGGCGCCCTCACAAAGGCCACTCTCAGGACTTCTCTTCAGAATCTGGTTCACTCTTAAGGCTGAACAAGGTTGACCCACTGCTGAAGAGTTTTGTCTGCGTTCTCAGACCTATCTGGGTGTCGTGTATATTACCCATAAGAGCAGACATTTGCTCAGAGGCTTTCCCAGAGTCCGTGGGTTCATGATGCATCCCAGAGCTGTGTCCTCTCCAGTTAAAGAGGATGGAGGTGTGGGTCAAGGCTCCTCCCGTTTGCAACGCTCTAGACGTTTGTCCAGCGAACATTCTCTCGTGTGCATACAGGAGATGACGGAAACGGTTTCCCATGTTCGCGCCACTCAGCACTCCTACTCCGCATGAGTCTTTCGGTGTCTAGAAAGTCCAGTCCTGTAGCAAAACACTTTGCCACATTCCTTGCACTCATGGTGCTTTGCCGCAGTGTGAAATCTCTGGTGTTTAATGAGGCTGCACCTCACCGCGAAGCATCTCCCACACACGCCGCACTTAAAAGGTTTTCCTCTGCTGTGAACTTTCCGGTGTTTCACGAGGTGGGAGTTCTTTTTGAAACACTTCCCACACTGGCTGCACTTAAAAGGCCTTTCTCCAGTGTGCACCCGGGCGTGGTAGACAAGGCTGGATCTTTCCTTAAACAATTTCCCGCACTCGCTGCACTTGTAAGGCTTCTCTCCGGTATGAAGTCGGTTGTGCCGTATGAGGCTGGACTTGTTCATGTACGACTCCCCACACTGGCCGCATTTGTAAGGTCTTTCTCCGGTGTGAAGTCTTTGATGCCCAACGAGGGAGCGGTTATGTTTGAAGTCTTTCCCGCATTCGCCGCACCTGAAGGGCTTCTCTCCAGTGTGAACTTTGACATGTTGGTTCAGATCAGCCTTCTGGATGAAGGATTTCTCACACTCGCTGCACTTGAAAGGCTTGTCTCCAGTGTGTATCCTCCGGTGCCGAATAAGCAGAGACCTGCAGCTGAAGGATTTGCCGCAGTCACAGCATTTGAAGTTCCTCTTACTGAGAATGGCCTTTTTTCTCTCGGGGCTCCCGGGCGGCTCTGTATTACTATGAGTCGCAGGATGCCCAGGAGGCCCAGAGGGAGTCTGGAGGTCCCCCACATTGTCTGTGCTTTGTAAACTCTTCTCTGAAAGGTCAATTTTCTTGATCTTCACGACTGGAATCCTGCTCTCTTCTCTCCGTAAGGAATTCTCAGCACAGCTCAGCTCTGGCTGTTGGAACGTGGTCACATTAAGCCCTCCTTCACTGGGAGTCTTCGGCTTACAAAGTATCTTTTCCACCTCCACTCCTTTGCAGCAACCCAAACACAGAGAAACAGTGATAAAGGGACATGTAGACTTTGAAGTGGCACCACACACAGTACCTGAGGTTCCTCACAGAAACCTTAAGATGGACAGGGCCTACTACCACAGTGAAGTCAGAAGATCCCTGTCCCAGGAAACCTCATGAACAAAAACACAAGAATGGCACAGGAGTGACGAGGACCCGAACTCCTTCCTCAAAAGATTGCTTTCTGCAGAGCCTCATTTGTTGGAGACTGTCCTGGCTGGGCTTTTTTTTTTTCTTTTCTCTGCTTGACACAAGCTAGGCTCATCTGAGAATAGGGAACCTCAATTGTGAAAGTACCTTCATAGAATAATCAAGGGTCATAGTTTTATTACTAATTGATGTAGGTGAGCCAAGCTCATAGGGGCTGGTCCCATCCCTGAGCAGATGATGTTGGTTGAGCAAGTCATGAGGAGTAAGCCAGTAAGAAGTGTTCCTCCATGGCCTCTGCTCCAGTTCTTGCCTTAAGTTCCTGCCTTGAATTATTCTTAGAGATGGGCTGTTACTGGGAAATGTAGGATGAAATAAACTCTTTCGAGTTGCTTTTGGTCATGTTTTTATTACAGTAAAAGAAACTCTAAGGCCGGGAGTTGGTGGCACACTCCTTTAATCCCAGTACTCAGGAGGCAGAAACAGGAGGATCTCTGTGAGTTCGAGGCCAGCCTGGTCTACAGAGCGAGTTCCAGGACAGCCTCCAAAACAATACAGAGAACCCCTGTCTTGAAAAACCAGAAAAAGAAAAACAAAAAAAAAAGAAAGAAAAAGATGCTCAACTTGATGCAGAAGGCTGTGTCTGTGCCCCTTAAATACAACACCCAAAGAACCTGTATTCAAGGACTGCTCAGGGGACTTGTGTGCACTAAGAACACAGTCAAGGAAAACCAGTGTTACATAGTGCCAAGAGGAGCCGGCAAAACACCAACGATTCGTAGGTGAGAGAAAGAGAGCCCTGACTCTGAAATCATAGCAACGACTGGTAGGCAACTGGGCAAACATAGACAGATGGATGCTACCACGATCCTTTGCCCTGGCAACAAAACATCAGAACCACTAGAAGGATCCTTCATATGAACCCATCCAGAGTGCATACATCAGCAACCTCCACCCTACCAGGACTTGTCCACCTACTTGGAGTCAGGAATCTCAGTGCAGGGATGAAGCGATCTCCTGAAGACGCCAGTTGAGCGATGTCGTGGGTTCCTGAAGGTATAAGTCCTAAATTAAAGAGCAGGACAGGTCAATGTCCTATACCAAGTCAGAGTGATGTAACTCATAGCAATCCACTGGAAAGAAAACTAATGACAAGGACCCTTGCAGAGATCTTGCTAAAAAAAAAATTCCCCAAATAGTGTCCACATCACTGCCACAATTTCTGTCACAGGCAGACCTAAGTCACCTAGAGGAAGAGAATGGTACCCGGGTCATAGGAATGCCACGTATTTGCAGTGTCACGGAGGGACATTCAGTGTGAACTCTGTAAAGCTACTATAAGATTCTTCACCACAGGCTGCTTTCCATGTCCCTTTGCTGTATTTAAGGGAGAGAAGGTGGTAGTGTACCATGCCCAGCCCCTTCATCTCTACTTCCTACTCCAGGATGCTGGGGAAAGAATCAATGGTCCATGGACCAGTTTGGGAAGGAGACAACTCTCTCTAGAAAAGAAGCCAAGCCAGAGAGGATGCTTTTACAGAATAGAATGTGTGTGTGTGTGGGGGGCTTACCCAATGAGGACATGAGAACAAAGACCTCCATCATCACATGGTGGTACAGACGCTTCTGAGAGCCATCAAGCAGTGTCCATTCTTCCCTCAAGAAGTAGATGGCCACATCATTAAAGGCCACACAACCCTGCCACAAGAGAGAACATTGAGTTAATAAGAAAAAGTCTCCTTTTCTTGAACTTTTGACATGCCAGATACAGCCCCTCCCACTTAGTTTCCTTCTCCAGAGGGCACCAAGATCTTCATCCGTTGACAGTCAGTATCTACTCAAGGTTGCAGGGACCCTGAGACCGACAATTAACAAATGGGATACCTCCTCAAACTGAGAAGCTTCTGTAAGGCAAAGGACACAGTCAACAAGACAGAATGGCAGTCCACAGAGTGGGAAAAGACATTCACCAATATCACATCTGACAGAGGGCTGATTTCCAAAATATACAAAGAACTCAAGAAGCTAGTCACCAAAACACCAAATAATCCAATTTAAAAGTGGGGTACAGAACTAAATAGAGAATTCTCAATAGAGGAATCTAAAATGGCTGAAAGACACTTAAGAAAGTGCTCAACATCCTTAGCCATCAGGGAAATGTAAATCAAAACAACTCTGAGATACCATCTCACTCCTGTCAGAATGGCTAAAATCAAAAACACTAATGACAGTTTATGCTGGAGAGGATGTGGAGAAAAGGGAATACTCCTCCACTGCTGGTGGGAATGCAAACTTGTACACACACTTTGGAAATCAGTATGGCATATCCTCAGGAAAATGGGAACCAATCTACCACAAGATCCACCAATTCCACTCTTAGGCATTTACCCAAAGGGTGCACATTCATACAACAAGGACATCTGTTCAGCTAAGTTCATAGAAGCATTATTTGTAATAGCCAGAACCTGGATGCAACCTAGATGCCCCTCAACTGAAGAATGGATAAAGAAAATGTGGTACATTTACACAATGAAGTACTATTCAGCAGAAAAAAAAAGGAATCTTGAAATTTGCAGGCAAATTTCCAGCACTAGAAGAAACCATTTTGTGTGAGGTAACCCAGTCTCAAAAAGACAAACATGGTATGTACTCACTCATATATGGATATTACACATAGAGGAAAGGTTACCAGCCTAAAATCCACACTGCTAGAGAAGCTAGGAAGCAAGGAGAAGCCTAAGAGACATACATGGTCCCCTGGAGAAGGGGAAAGGGACAAGATCTTCTGAGCAAATTGGGAGCATGGGAGGAGGGGAGAGGGAGTTAGGAGAAAGAGAAGGGGAGATGGGGAGATGATAGAGCAGGAAGATTGAGTCGAGAGAAGAATAGAGGAGAACAAGAAAAGAGATACTATAATAGAGGGAGCCATTATAGTTTTAAAAAGAAATCTGGGACTAGGGAAATGTCCAGAGATCTACAAGGATAACCCCAACTAACAATCTAGGCAATAGTGGGGAGGCTATCTTAAATGCTCTTTCTCTATAATCAGACTGATGACTTCCTTATATACCATCCTAGAGCCTTCATCCAGTAGCTGATGGAAGCAGAAGCAGACACCCACAGCTAAACACTGAGTCCAACTCCTGGATCCAGTTGCAGAGAGGGAGGAGTGATGAGCAAAGAGGTCAAAACCAGGCTGGAGAAACCCACAGAAACAGCTGACCTGAACAAGGGGGGAGCTAATGAACCCCAGATTGATAGGTGGGAAACCAGCATAGGACTGACCCAGACCCCTGAACGTGTATGTCAGTTAGGAGGCTTGGGTAATACATGGGGTCTCTGGCAGTGGATCAGTATTTATCCCTAGTATATCAGCCGTTTCCACATAGAGGGATACTCTCTCAGCCTAGACACATGGGGAATAGCCTAGGCCCTGCTCCAAATGATGTGACAGACTTTGAAGACTCCCCCATGGAAGGCCTCACCCTCCCTGGGTAGCAGAAAGGGAATGGGGTTGGGGGTTGGTGGGGGGCAGGGGAGGAGGGGAGGGAGAGGGAACTGGGATTGACAGGTAAAACAGGATTGATTCTAATTTAAATAAAAGAGAGAAAAAAAGTTTGCAGTGACCCCTGTTTTCAGCCCCAGCCACAGGCAGACAGATGAATAAAATCAACCCAGTTTTGACATTTGGTGTGGACATCTCCACTTTTCTACCACGCAGTTTCCATATGTTCCTCGACGTCATGCTAAGCAGATCTGCCCAGGTCTGAGCCACTGTTCTCCACTATACCCCGGGCATGTGGGCTTGGAGTCCATGTACTCATAACTCCTGTTACAATGCACATCGCTCTTTGGAATGTCCCTCCTTTCCCATTTTAGTATTCAAGCCTACAGCTTCTCATCCACTGTACCACTCCCAAGGGCTGCCTTCCACCACATCTAGCAAATCCCCAACACGCCCGAGGACTTCTGAGCGTTCCTAACCCACCTCACTTTCAGGCATTTTCCACCGCTCATCACGGGAACTTGGATACCTCTGAAGCTTAACGGAGTGGCTTCCATAGATGCAGCCTACCCATGTAATTCCTGCTCTGGATGCACAGACCTTATATCCTATAACCACCTTCCATGAAAATCAGACAGAGGGATAGGAGAACAGCACACAGAGCGCCCCGAAGGACTATAATCCCAGACGTCACTTATGAGGGAATTGAAGAGCGTGAGTTCCCCGTGGCACCTTCCACTTACCTCTCTAAAGTTAGTCGATGTCTTTGCACTCACAGGAACCTGTGGGTAAAGAAGGCTGTGATTTAAAAGCAGTGATGTTGGCATCCTGAAGGACCATCCAGCCCCCCTCACGCCTCAGGCGGGTATATCTAAGATGAGCTTCAGACCTCAATGAGGTCTCTTATTAACTGTGTGCCCTTGGACAAGCCGTCAACTCCTCAGTGTTGTCTTCCGGAACGTGGGGATGAGAACGACACCCACTCCTCGACAGGAGTACTATTCTACTGCACTTAGTACTGCCTGTCAAATACTCTGTGTGGTCCCTTCCTGGCTGTATAATACTGCAGTCAAGACTTTCAGCACAAATGGGCCCACCAGGTTGTTGGTATAGGTTCAGGGTGCCCAGCTGGTTAAGATTAGTAATTGGTAGCATGCATAGCACCTTCCAGCACTGTGAAAGGTACCATGCAGGGATGACACTTGCAGGTGAGTGCCAGTGTGACTTCTCCATGGCTTGTGACTCAAGTGTACTGTGTCTTCAACCCTAGGGTGTGACTGCCAAGTTCTGGAAGGTAGCCAAGTGCACTTGCGATAGCCTGTAATGTTTGACGGCCTATGGGATCTCACTGGCCTACATCTCCAAAAGTAACCTGCTCTTGGGCACTAGGCTTAGTTAGTCTAGTTGGGGGTGGGGTGTACTGTTTCCTGGTACGCTCGTCAGTCTCTGTCAACTTGAGACAAAGAAACGGGGAATATCAACTGAGGAATTATCATCAGATTGTTCTGTGGCCACGTGGATGGGGGACTTCCTTGATTAATGGCTGATGTGCCAGGACCCAGCCTATGGTGGGAGCCAGCAAGAAAGCAATATTTCTCTGTTGCAGTTCCTCTCTTGAGTCCTTGCCTGACTTGCTTAGTGAATCACTATGAAACGGAAGTACAAGTCAACATGATGGCTACTTTTATGGCAACTCGACACAACTAGAGTTATCTGAAGGAAGGGAACCTCAACTGAGATAATGCCTCCATACGAATGGCTGTAGAGCATTTTGTTAATTAGTAGTTAATGGGGAAAGCAGCCCGAGCAAGCCATAAGGAGCAAGCCAGTAAACAGCACCCCTCCGAGACCTCTCCATCAATTCTCACCTTCCTGCCCTGTTTGAGTTTCTGTCCTGACTTCCTCTGATGATGAACAGTGCTGTGGTCAAATAAACTCTTTTCTTCCCAAGCTTTGTTAGTCATGGTGTTTTGTCACAGCCATAGAACCTCTAAGACAGCCAAATAAACCCTTTCCTCCAATGTTTGGTTTAATAGTGGTCTTATTACATCAAGAAATCAAGCACACCCCATGTGTGTGTTAGAAAGCTTCTACAGTAGTGGATTTCTATTAGATTTTTTAATTTGTTTGCTTGTTTGGTTTTTTTCGAGACAGGGTCTCTCTACATGGCTCTGGCTGCTCTGGAACTCATCATGTAGACCAGGCTGGCTTTGATCTCACAGAAATCCACCTGCATCTGCTTTACTCCTGCTGGGATTAAAGGCATGTGCCACCACACCCAGTTCTCATATGATTTCTCAAAAAGTGTTTAGTGCTATTTATCCCTCCCACAACCCCATCTCTATCCTTACCTCCCACACCCACCTAAATTTAACTCTTACTGTTCCATTATTCCCTTTTATCCCTTGATACCATTACATCTCCCCTCCCTTGAAAGCCCCCACCCCCTGTCAATTTTCTAGCTTCTCTGGGTAATCCAAATTTAACACACACATCTGAAGATTCAAAGTTAACATCCACAAATGAAAGAAAACATACAAAATTTCTCTTTCTGGACATGGGTTACCTCACTCCAAATGACTGTTTCCAACTCTATCCGTTTACCTGTGAATTTCATAATTTTGTTTTTCTCAACAGTGGAATAATATTCCATTGGGTAAATGTACCAAGTTTTCATTATCCAGTACTAGTTGAGGAACATCTAGGCAGTTTCTCTTTACGGCTATTGCGAACACAATAGCAAGGATATGGATTCACTAATCAACCACTTTCTGATTGGATTTCTGCCCCAGAAGAAGAACTCCCATCCTGACACCATTCTGGGGCCAAAAATCTCTGTCTACGCAGGTCTTAGTCCCTGGAGGAGAACCTACTATTATTCTGCTACATGGGTATGAATTCTCAGTACCTTATTGTTTCACCCACAGATCAGTCACCTCTCAACCCTCATCAGAGAAGCTTCTATTGCAGCAGATGGCAACCAATACAAATACAACTAACCAAGATGCAAGGAGTAGGAGATTTTGGAATGCCTAACCTGCACTAAGCCCTCTTCCCATGGCTCAGGGATCACTGGGAAAGGGGGAGTGGCAGAAAGAACGTAAGAGCCAGAGGTAGAAACTAACTACAAGGAAATAGTGTTTCCCAGACACAGCAAGGCAGCTGCACATATGAACTCATGACAACTGTGACAGCATACACAAGAGCTGGGCGTGGGTGGTCAAGCCAGACCATGGAGAGAGATGGCTGACACAAAGTACCTCTCCTAACAAAGGAGCTTCTGGAAGCTGATAGCTGCTGGGGAGAGGCAGAGTCTGTTTTCTTTAAGAGCATAGTTCTTGGTGAATCAACCAAGCCCCAGTAGAAGGCCATACATCCAAGAGTGTATAGCTAACACAAAGTGAGCTTGATGGTTTGAATAGGTAAGCAGAGTGGATCTGGGAGGACTTAGGAGAGGGGATGGATATGATCAAAAGACAGTGAAGGACATTCTCAGAGAACTAATCATTTCCCCCTCAAAACCAAATATGTGGGCATGCTTTCATAAAGCATGCTTTTATTTTATATACACTTATTTGAGAGTTTGCTATTTGGGGACAGAGAGATGGCTCAGCTATTGGGAACACTGGTTGCTTTGATTCCCAGCATTCACATGGTAGCTCACATTGCAGTGCCAATCCCAGGGATTCTAACACCTCCGCTGGCCCCTGCAGGCCCCGAGCACACAGTCATGCACAGACAGACAAACATGCATAAAAGACACCCATAACATAAAAGCAAGCAAGAAAGCAAGCAAATAAAAGAATGTGACATCTAACTCGTTAGGCTTTACCCAAATTCGGTATATGTTCTCAAGCAATTGTTAAGTGCTCATAATAACGCTATTTCCATGATGTTTTCATTGTCCACTTATGTATGAATCTTGACCAAATACTGTTTCAACAAGTACTCATCAGATAGCTCCGAGTGCATACACACAGAGAAATACACACACTGAGAAATCAGACTCTAGGCTTCAGCTCAATGCCTGGTGTGCACGTGAAGGAGGGAATTCCGCTGAGGGTCCTTCCATGGGGACAGGGGAATCATCCCTCTGCATAAGGCTGAGCAGGTGAGGCACAGACAGGCTACTCGTGCCAACTGCGTGACTGACCTTCCTTTTCTCCACAGGGAGTGGCCATGAAGGCCTGCTGAGCTGAATCTATGCCACCAGTAGCCAGGTCTCAGTCACAATCCAGAATCCTCACACTCCAGGAATGCCCAGTCCTAAGACACCAGCAAATAACACATCCCATCACAGGACTCTATCCTTGGAGCAGGCTGCAGCTCAGCTGCAGAGTCCGGGCCACCAGTTAAGGGCTGGGGACGACCATGCAGGAGATTCTGGGTTCCACTCTCAAGACCATAAAGTAGGAACAAACCTCCAACCTTTCCCCCTCAGCCTGGAGATGAGTGGATTAGGGAAACTGTAGTGTCAGACAGTGAGGCAGACAGACACCCCAGGCAGTGGAGACCCAGACTGGCCAATGCAGGACAGGAGAGCCTAGGCAGAGCCCTAAGGGGAAACTTGACCCATTCTGTGGGGATTTCTTTCTTGTGGAGGGAAAAAAATTCGGATTTACAGAATGAATTCGGGTCAGAAACCAGACGATCTAAGTTCAATTCCCAGATGCCATACGAAGGTGGGTGGAGAGAAACAATTAGCAAATGTTGTCCCCTGTCCTCTGCATGGACCGCCCCCCCACACACACACGGAGGCCGGCCATGGTGGCCCATGCCAAATGCCAGCAAACCTCTTTGAGTTCAGAGCCAGCCTGAACTACTGTTCAGGTAACATTTCCAGGCCAGCCAGGGCTACACAGTAAGACCCTGTCTCAAACAAAAAGAGAAAACGGGAAGAAGGAAGGGAGGGAGGGAGGGGAGGGAGGGGAGGGAGGAAAGTTGACTGTTTAAGTACAGGGGTGTGTGTGTGTAACACATCTGTAATCCCAGCATCCCTAAGGGAGGCTATAACAGGATGATTATGAGTTTGAGGCTAGCCTGTGAGATCCCATTTTCAAGCACACTAAAACCCAAACCCAAAAAAAAAAAAAAAGAAAAGAAAGAAAGAAAAGAAAAAGAAAAAAAAAGAAAAAGAAAAAAAAAAGAAAAAGAAAAAAATTGCCCAGCCTTCTGTGGTCCTGAACATGTCTTACACTCACAAATCTTCCCAGGTTTTTGGACCAACAGCCAAGCCTCCTTTCAGCCAAGCCGTGATCACGTGGTACGCACCTGTGCCTGGGCTCCCGGTTCAGCCTCGGCAGTCGGACTCTGCTGGACAGCTGGGTCCATGGCTGTCTCCCCGGGCCAGCAACCTGTCACACGGGATCGTTGTAGACTTCAAACCCGTTTGTGCGCTAGAGCACAAAGCCTCCCTCCTCTCCAGCCTTCCAGTCCTGGACAACGAGGTGTAAAAACCCAGTCTTCCGAAGGCTTGGTGCGAGCATCCAGGAAAACAGTCACCTGCCCACAACCGCTAAGTCCCAATGCTTTTTTGTCTTGTCTTTCCTTTTTTCTTTTTGTTAAAGCCCGCGGAAGCGGCCGCTTTCATTGGCTGAGCGCTTCTGCGCTGTCTCTTCTGGGTAATGTAGTTCAGAGAAGGATGCGCCCTGGAAACAAGGACACAGCCGGAGAAGTGGGAGCTATAGCAGCGGTAAGCAAGGAGCTCAAGGGACTCCTGTAGACGCTGTAATGGTTACAGATGCGCCAGTGTTTCCATTTCTCTGACCATCAAGGCCACACAGTAAGGTGGATTCCTGGGTCTGAATCTGGTATGCATTCCCAAATTTCCCTTCTCAAAGGGATGCTCAGCTTAAAAGCCATATCTGATGTTTAAAAATGTGAAAACAGTCCGAATTCTGGAAACAGGTCTCCTCCACCTGTATTCCTGTCTTTTATCATGGACCTAGGAGATGCCCATTATGGCAGAGCAAAAGGCCACATCCGTAAGCCAACACACGCACGCACGCACACACGCACCCACGCACACGGTCCCCTGTGTCCTTCCCTCTTCCGTATTCCCACTACTCCACTACTTGTGAATTCCGAACCAACTCCCCACAGACGGGCGGGATGCCGCCAGTGCTGCGGACAGAAGAGATGGGAAGCCTTCATTGTACACTGTTCTGCTGCTTTGGACTCCGCTATTGTGTCTCTGATTCTCCCAACGCTCCTTCCTCTACGAAGTAGTGATCAGTCTCCACAGGTTTAAGGAGACCCCAGAAGACAAGATATAATGAAGTAGTCCTGTCATTCTGGAACCTTCTGGCATTGGATGGAGAGTGTTGATTCTGGAAAGGGGGGGGGGTCAATATTGCTACTGATCACGTGATGCGGTAGAGAAAGCTCTAACATTTTTTTTTGTCCTTTCTGCAATGGTCATCATTTTGTAGGCAGCTCCTCTCTGTTAGGACACAGTGTGCTGTGAGGAAGAGGCGGTGCTGAGGTGTGATTGGCACAGAAAGGCACTGGGACAATGGGTGGGAAGCCTCCCCCTTCCTAAGTCAAGTGAAGGAGATAAACCGCTAAGCTGGGTGTGGCGGCACAGGTCTTTAGTCTCAGCATGCAGGGGAGACAGAGGGATAGCCTGGACTACATAGTGAGGTCCAGGCCAGCCAGGGCTAGATGGGAAGATCTTGTCTCAAAAATCGTAATAATAATAATGATGATGATGATGATGATGGTGGTGGTGGTAGATGGGCATTGGTGGCGCACGCCCTTAATCGCAGCACTGAGGAGGTAGAGGCAGGTGGATCTCTGTGAGTTTGAGGCCAGCCTGGTCTATGCAGGGAGTTCCAGGGCAGTAAGGGCTACACAGAGAAATTCTGTCTCCAAAAACCAAAATAATAATAATAAGTCATTGTGTTGAAATGTATTAGAAAGCAGATTCTAGATTTATTATGTATATAGTGCTCAGCATGCATGCCAGAAGAGGGCACCGTATCTCATTACAGATGGTTGTGAGCCACCATGTGGGTTCTGGGACTTGAACTCAGGACCTCTGGAAGATCAGCTGGTGCTCTTAACCTCTGAGCCATCTCTCCTGTTTTAGACTATTCTTCTAATCTGAGCCATTGAGTGGAGCTGGCCACCGTGGCATGGACCTTCTTTGATGAATCTGATATACATATTATAAAATATGGTCACAGCAAAATTCATGAGTCTAGTAAAACCTGCAGGAAATTCAGAGCCCAGGGATAAGAGGCTATCACCCAGAGAGATCAAAACAGATAACAGGGGACGCTATAAAAGCATCGATGGACTGACTCTAAAATGTCCATTGGCACCATTTCTAGGGCGTTTTCCAGGAATGTGGGGGAGCACAAGAGAGCCTCCTAAGCTGCTTCATTCCAAGTGGCTGAACCCGAAGACTGCTTGCAGGGAGCTGGAGAGTTGGTGCACAGGTTAGGGACACTTGTTGATCTTGCAGAGAACTCCGGTTTGATTCCCAGCCCCCAGTGGTGGCCCATAACTGTCTGTAACTCCAGTTCCAGTGGATCAAATGCCCTCTTCTGACCTCCCGAGGGCACCGAGGAACCAGACATGTTTGTGGTTCATACACGATGCACGTAGGTAGGTTAAACGCTCAAGCAAGTGAAATGATAAAATATATCTAAAGAAAATTGTTTAGACACGCTGTAAGAATTTCTCAGGAACATTTCATTGAATTTGCAAACACACTAAAATACAGAAGTAGATTTTGAAGGGGGTTTAATGTTGCTACAGGATTAAACAAATGGGTTATATAAACAAGACTGTGTATGTGTAGAATTGTAAGAACGCCATTATGGTAGAAATAACACACTACTTACTTTTCTTTCTCATTTTCTTCATATTAAATTATCTCCTTGTTAAACTCACATATATCTCCCTGAATTTGCACAATAAATTCCAGGACACAGCCTTAAACAACAACAGGTTGGGTCGAATATGTTCAATGAGTTTTCTCTGTAAGCTCCAGCGTCCTTCAGATTTTATTTAGACTGCGCTTGTTGGTGGGCACAGCAGGGAAGTGAGCCCCCAAGGGGTGAGAATGAAAACTACAGTCAGATTGAATGGAAACCTGGATGGAGACTCCAGGGAGGCTGATCTCAGGCTGTTTATTTGCAACAAATTTAAACACTGCAATTAAAAAAAAAAGGCAAAAAAGCTTTCCCAGTGTAACACAATCCCTGGTGCATGAGGAAGCATAATTATGTTGGAACTTGACTCGGGGAACATGTCATTTCTTCCAAAAGGATGACTTCTAGAGATAGGCTACCTGTACTAGCTTAAGGCCCTAAGGGTCTGGCCTGGTCTCCGTCATACAGATAGCACAGAGGTATTTTGGGGCTATTTGCCACCTCTGGTCCTGATTGTGGGAATTTTGTGGGACCTCTAACTACACAGATAGTGTAATAAGAGTCATTTAGACTATTCAGTGTCTTTAGTCGTGGGTGTGGGAGCTTAGGGAGGCCCTGTCCGTAAGGGTCATTTAGATCACTAGCCTCCTCCGGTCCTGGTTGTAGGAGGTTGACATGGCCTGCCCCAACAGATACTGCTGGTCACTAGGCTATTAATTGCTTCCAATTCCCATCTTTCTGGAATAACAGGTTTTACGTCCTTGCCTTTGAAAGAACAACCCTGAGTGCTTTATACTCTTAGGTTCTTTGGAGATCTGTGGGCACAGGGACCTTTGTGCTCACAACACCCCTGAACTCTTAATCTACCCCTTTTCTTTTTCCCTAAGGCTGTGTTTAATTGCTGTTGTTTTCAGACAAAGTCATAAGTAGCCTTGGGTAAATCAGACTTGCTACGTAGCTAAGAATGACCTTGGACCTCTGATAAAGCACCTGCCTCTACTTATTGAATTTATGGGACACTCCTTTGGGGTGGTGTTGACAGAGCTCAAACGCTAAGCTGTGCACATACGAGGCAATAATGCTACCAACCAAGTGCCACACCCAGGCACTCTCGGTAGGTGTTTGCATCACCATTACATTGGAAGTCTTTTCTTTGTTTTCTATTTCTAAAGAAAAAAATATTTTTCATTTTACATAGCTGCCCCAGTTCCCCCAGAATATCAATCCACAGCCCTAGGGAGGCTAGGTAGCAAGGAGGGCTCAAAGAGGGATATGCATGGATTTCCCTGGGAAAGGAATATAGAAGGGATCTCCTGGGTAAACTGGGGGCGGGGGAGGAAGGAATGGAGGGGGAGAGCCATGAAAGAGATGTCTTGATGGGGGTGGTATTTGGGGGTTAGGGAGGAACCTGGAGCCAGGAAAACCTCCAGGAATTCACAAGGATGACCCTAGCTAAGACTCCTAGCAATAGTGGAGAAGATGCCTGGGCTGACCATCTACTGTAATCAGATTGGTGACTACCCTATTGCCATCAGAGATGCTCTATCTAGTAACTGATGGAAACAGATGCAGAGATCCACAGCCAAGCACTGGGCAGATCTCCAGGAGTCCTCCTGAAGAAAGGAAGGAGGGATTGTATGAGCAGGGGAAGGGCCAAGATCATGACAGAGGAACCCACAGAGACAGCTGACCTGAGCTCGTGAAAGCACATGGACTCTGCATCAAAAGTTAGGGAGCCTGCATGGGACTGAACTAGGCCCTCTGTATGTGTGTGTGACAGTGTGTAGTTTGGTCTGTAAGGTTTCTAGCAATGAGATCAGTACCCCTCCCTTGTGCTTAGCTGGCTTTTGGGAACATGCTCCCCACGCTGGATTACCTTGCCTAGTCTTGACAAAAAGGGGAGGAGCTCGGTCCTGCCTCAACTTGACCTGCCATGCTTTGCAAATCAAACCCGTGGGAGGGCTGCCGCATTCTGAGTGAAGTTGGAGGAGGAGAGGAAGGGGAGAGGTAGAGATGGGAAGGAGGGTATGGGGCGGGGGTGATGGGGAGGAGAGGAGGGAGGGGAAACGGCAGGTCAATATGTAAAATGTTATTTAAATAAAAAAAAGCCACGTGGGAACCTAAAAAAAAGCATTTGGTTTATTGATTTACCAGTGAGTTGATAAGTGGGTGAATATCTACATATTTGCACCTCTGAGTTTGCAAGTGAATAATGGGAGACAGAGCAAGGTTTCGGATCCTTCGGAACTGGAGTAGCAGAGGTTTCCACGAAGCCAAGTGTGTTGTTGTGGATGCTGGGATTGGAATGCCAGTTATCACGGCTGCCAAGCAGGCACTAAAGCTTGCTTTCTTAACCTCCAAAGAGAGGGGCCCCCCTGGGCTACTGATACACAGTTTCTTCTTATGGTCCCACTGACCGCTGTGTTCAGCATCGGGCAACAGTAGGGAAGCCGACAAGTGGACTCCATCAAAACCTGATGTTTGGCATAGGGTCTCTCCTCTCAACCACGAGGCCCTCCACATCACATGTCCCAAATACAAGCAGGCTTCAGGTACCGCTCTCCATCACTCCAGAGGTGATGGAGACAGGTACAGTTACACTGTATCTCTATTCCCATCTAGGTATACAAGGTCCAGCTCAGGCTGCCACTCAAGTCTTAATCTATGCTTTCCAGCCTTTTCAAGGTAACAGACACCTAAGATGGTCTGAGCATTTACAATAATATATATATATATATATGTGTGTGTGTGTGTGTGTGTGTGTGTGTGTGTGTGTGTATTTTATGTATGAGTGCTCTATCTTCGTGCATGCCCACATGCTAGAAGACGGCATTATAGATGGTTGTGAACCAACGTGTGGGTGCTGGGAATTGGACTCAGGATCTCAGGAAGAATAGCCAGTGCTCCTTTTTTTTTAAAGATTTATTTATTTATTATGTATACAGTGTTCTGCCTGCATGTATTCCTGTAGGTCAGAAGAGGGCACCAGATCTCATTACAGATGGTTGTGAGCCACCATGTGATTGCTGGGACTTGAACTCAGGACCTCTGGAAGAGCAGTCAGTGCTCTTAACCTCTGAGCCATCTCTCCAGCCCTAGCTGGAGCACTTAACCACTGGGCCATCTCTCCAGTCTCCAATATCCAGGCTTTTTTTCCCCCTTTTTTCTGGTACACCATGGGAACTTTAATACCTGTGACTCTCAAGACAGGAGCTGCCATAAATGGGAAACGTCTCCCTAGAATCCTTGCTGTTGATTCACGGGCCTTCCATTCTGATTGCCTTCTGTGGGAATCAGTTGGAAGGATAGAGAGAATAGCAAGCAGAGAGTCCTGGAACACTGCAGCACCAAGGATGACTTAAGCGGGAACCCAGGAGTGTGCATTCCCAAAGCATCCCCCACTTACATCTTCACGGCTGCTAGGTATCTTTGCACTGAAAGGAACCTACGGGGAAACGAGGCTGTGGGTAACCATGATGCTGACATCACCAAGGACCATCCATGCCCTCCCTTGCACTCGCAGGCTGCGGTAACTGTCACATTGGCCTCGGTCCTTAATGAGGTCTCATTCTGTGTGCTCTTGAACACGGTGACAGACTCCTACATGTTATCCTCTGGAATACGGGGATAAAAATGACACTCCTATACCAGAAGGAGCACTACTTGGTCAAACTCAGTCCTATGTGCTATCTACTTGGTAAGCGAATGAAAAATAATATAAAATGAAAAGGAAAGGACATGATGCCGCCTAGGTATGGTGGAGAAGTTTTATTGTGGATATGAGGGAGAACACAGCCAGAGGCAGAGACAAGAGTATACGGGACCCTTAGCCAGGCTACGTGAAGAGAAGGGACAGACACGGGCGAAAAGGAGCTACCCACCGAAAGGAGTGTCCTGGGTCAAGAGACTGGCCAAGATCATGGCATAGCCAGATTGCCTGAGTTATACAGGGGCCAGAGGAACTGGGAGGAATGAAGCCCAGCCCAAAACCTGGGCTGGAGAATTTGGGGGGGGGGTAGGGGGCGGGGCCTGCCAGCAAGGAGGCCTCTTAAGAGGCTGAGACTGAGGGATGCTGGGAGAACCTGGAGGCCAGCTTCTGCTTTGATATGTTAATGGCACCTCAGTTAGCAATTGTGTACCGGGTTAGAGACCTGACTGTAAGGTCTCTTTCCCTGTACACATCCTTTGATTTCTAGCAAGAATTTCAATGCAAATAATCAGGCAGGCTTTGGAAATGTGCGGTTCTACTTTACATACATTTCACTTAGAATGTGATATCTAACAATTACATTTTCATGAAGGATGGGGGTGGCACACAGCTTTCAGTCTCAGCACCCCTGGAGACAGAATCAGGTGGATGTCTGTGAGTTCAAGGCTGACTTGGTCGACATAGCTCTAGCAAGCTCCAAGCCAGCCAGAGAGGGATTTCCTAATTAGACACTTTGTAAAAATAAATAAATAAAATAAGAATCTTTATTCAAGTGCTGATCGTTAAGTGCTCATAATAATGTTATTTCCAGGCTGTTTAATCTCCCATTTATGTGTGAATCTTGACCAAATACTGTTTCAACAAGTACTCATCAGATAGCTCCGAGTGCATACACACAGAGAAATACACACACTGAGAAATCAGACTCTAGGCTTCAGCTCAATGCCTGGTGCGCACGCGAAGGAGGGAATCCCGCTGAGGGTCCTTCCATGGGGACAGGGGAATCATCCCTCTGCATAAGGCTGAGCAGGTGAGGCACAGACAGGCTACTCGTGCCAACTGTGTGACTGACCTTCCTTTTCTCCACAGGGAGTGGACCACGAAGGCCCGCTGAGCTGAGTCTATGCCACCAATAGCCAGGTCTCAGTCACAATCCAGAATCCTCACACTCCAGTCCTGCAGACACCAGATGCTCTAGGAATGTCCAGTCGGAAGGTGCCCCCTTAGTTGTTACACCTAGCCCGTTATGCACCACGAGGAAGGAGAGAGACAACACTTACGGTTCCAAGTATTTCAATAGTTCACCACATTAGCAAGTCACTAATCCATCAGGACTTCAGGACAAGGACTCAGGAGCTTTGCTTCTCCTGACAGCCCCAAGCAGGGGCAGAAGAGGGAGTTTAGAAGCACACAAATCACAAACATTTGTTGCCGAGTTCCAGTTCCAGTTTTCACCAACCAGGATTTAGAGATTAGGGGTCTCCTTGAGTGTTCCATCATTGTCAGTTAATATATACTGCAAGCCTTTCCGTCCGGCCAACCAGACCCATTTGTTCCTCCATGGTTAGGAACAACCACGACGTTTGTAAAGAACTAAAGATGCATAAGGACTATTTCTATGGCTTAGGGGGGGAGACTGGTCAGCCACTGGAACATTCTCAGCTGCCCTAGGGCTTGGGAAGCTGAACTTTGTTTCACTCTACAGGTAAAATGGAGTCTGAAGTCAAAATGGCAGTACTCAGGCCAAGGTGCTTTTGTCTGTCCCCTTCACAGAGGAGAAGTCCCACTCTCCTGTCATTTCAATCAAGCCACCTAAAACCAAAAAAAGAAATCATATTTGTTTGCACTTTCTAAAAATGAACTTTATGTTAAATGAAAAACTTGTGAAAATTCCAAAAACCAACAAGATTTCTAACCCCAACTCCCACCAAAAACATCTGAAGCAATGATGTTCTATACCAACAATTCACAAATGCTAAGGCATGGGAGTTGCAGGATTTATGTTCAGCCTCTGCACTTAATCAGGAGGGGAGGCTCCAGCCAGTGTGACTTGCCTTAAGGATGGGACTGTGGTCTCCAAAAGCAGTAACGCCCATATAACAACCAGACAGAAGCTAGTAAGTGTACAGTATAAAGTCACAATTAACAATCAAAGGTTAAAACACACGCCATGAAGTCAACTCCAGTACCTTGGTTGTGTCTCCCTGAGTAAGCCTGAGAGCTATGGTTCAGGAACACCATTAACCAGTCCTTACACTGGAGCACAACGAAACGCTACACAGAGTGGAAGCTTCCGGGGTAGAAATCGTATTTTAAAGTCTATTTTTATTTCATATCTATGAGTGTCAGCCTGCATGTATGTATACGCGGCACAAGCCTGGAGGCTTGTGCAGGCTAGCGGAGGATGTCAGACGTCCCGGAACTGGAGTGACAGGTGGTGTGAGCCCCCAGAGGAACTGGCAACGGAACCCGAATCCTCTGCAAGAGCAGCAGGTGCAGCTGGTTTTGGGGTGCGGTGCACACCTCAAATCCCAGCATTCCAGAGGCAGAGGCAAAAAAAAAAAAACATGACTAAGCTGGGAGTGGAGGCTCTCCTCTTTTAATGCTGGCACCCCGAACTTAACAAAAACCCCAAACAAAAATTAAACAACTGAGCCCCACTGAGTTCAAGGCTTATCTGGTCTACAGAGCAAATCCCAGGGAAGCCAGGGTTGCACAGAGAGACCCTGTCTCAAAGAACAACAACAACAACAAAACACCAAACAAAAATAAAATTATTTTCAAAAGGTGTAACACAGTAGTTCTTAACCTGTGGGTCTGGGCCCCCTTTGGGGGTAGAATGACCCTTTCACAGGGGTCACCTAAGACTGTCGGGAAGCACAGATATTTATTTATTTGAGACAGGGTTTCTCTGTATTGCTTTGGAGCCTGTCCTGGAACTCGCTCTGTAGACCAGGCTGGCCTCGAACTCACAGAGATCCACCTCTCTCTGGCTGCTGAGTGCTGGGATTAAAGGCGTGTGCCGCCATCACCCAGCACAAATACAATTTTTTAAAAGAGTCAAGTTAATAAACAAAAACCGGAACCATGTAAGTAACTGGATCACTATCAGGGGACATCAGCCCTATGCCCAGGCTCGCAACCCAGACCTCAGGATGCTATAACATGTAACATTAGGTAGGCCAGGGATCATGTGTCGCCTCATCCAGAGTCCCCAGACGAGCTGACAGGACTACCCAAAGAGGCACAGGAACAGCAACATTCCTGTGGAAGGTTTAGAACCAGTGACACCACAGCGGTGCAGATTTCCGACTCGTCTAGGTGTCCGGGACAAAGCCTTCCATCTCTCGAACCCCACTACCTCCACCTCCAGCCAGGGTTTCTCTGTGTAACCTCGACTGTACTTGAACTCACTCCGTAGACCAGGCTAGCCTCAAACTCAGAGATCCACTGGGATTAAAGGCAGGCACCAATACCTCCGGCCAATCTTCCGGCCTTTCTGCACGGGTTATGTAGTTCAGACAGCTGCACCACCGAGACCCGGATAGTTACAGAAGGCGGAGAAAGAGTGGTAAGGAGCTAATGTCCTCGAAGACACGGTGGTGGTTACACATGCGCCTGTGTTCCCATTTCCCAAGCTGCTTCTGAAGTGAACCCCCAGTGCCACATTAAAGTCGTTTCCTGCACCGAAGCCGGTTACGCATCCCCGAATTCCCCTTGGCGAGGGGGGATGCACAATAGAAATGTTACTCTTGACGACGTCTTATCAGAGGTGGCGTCTGAATTCTAGAAGAAGAGTCTGAATTCTAGAGACTGGTGGTGACAATAGTCCAAATATGTCCTTTCTTGTTCCTCCATGATCCCTCCTTCCTTTTAATTACAAAAGGATCCGGCAAGTACCACTCATACAGAGGCAAAGGCTTAAAAATCTGTCGGGGGGGGGGTCTCAAATCCCGGATGATGGCTAACTCAAGTATCCATTAGCATATCAAGTGGACACCGGCCCCCCCAGCTTCTCCCAGCACCCCTCAGTCTCTGCCTCTTATAGGGTCCTCCTGGATGGCTCGCCCAGCCCCCTACCCTGAACTTTCCAGCCCGACTATTGGGCTGGGCTTCCCAAGAACCTCCCAGCTCCTCTGGCCCCTGCATAACTCAGCCTTCTTGGCCCAGGCTGCTCCTCTAGGTCAACTGCTACTCTCCATCATCTTCTCACATGGTGAGGGTCCTGTTCACTCTGGACTCCCAGATGACTCTGCTTCTGGTTATTCTCTCCCTTCATCTACAATAATTCATTCATTCATTCATTTCCTCCCTCCCGCCCTCCCTTTCTCTCCCTCTCTCTCCCTCCCTCCGTCTCTCTCTTTCTTTCCACTTAAAAGCCAGACGCCAATCTTGCTCCTTCTCAGGCACACACGAACACGAAACAAGACAAACAGACAGGGGCTCACAACGTTCCCTGCCTGGTCTGGAACTCCCGGTGACAGACTGGCTTCCAATCCCAGAGATCCACCTGCCTCTGCCTGCAGTTCTGCAATTTAAGTGGGTCAGCAAGCCCAGCCTTGACGCTCAAGGAAATAATTGGCACATCTGTAACTACGATAGCCTTCAGTCTCCAGACCGGACTGAGTACCCTGCTCAACTCTGGGCAGGTGGATCCACTTCCTGGCGCTCGACCCTGCCTGAACTACATTGTCCAGAAGACATTGCTCCGAGCTCAGCCAATGAGAACGAAGCGTCCCGGTGACTGCAAACGACGCTGGGCGGGACTTTTGGCTTTGCGTGCTGGAGATTTTCTTTGAAACTTTCTGGATCTGTCAGTTTGGATCCCCGGGAAGCTGGTCTCATCTGCATTGGTCACGGCAGGAAAACGGGAGACTTAAGAAGCGTTTTGTCTTCTGTCACGGAGACGGATCTGACGTTCGTGACGATCTGGGTGACCCGATCCAGGCTTCGAGTAGGAAAGGCGATGTCCCAGGGCCCCGCCGGCCAGTGGAGCCCCATGGTGATCGTGGAGGCTGCGGGTGGAGTCCTGCCCCAGGTGAGTGCTTCGTGATCGCCCGCCTACCTGAGTTCCAGAGCTTTGAGATCTGGGTCAGGAGCCAGCGGGGCAGGCCGGGTGACCCCCGACTGCAGGGCACTGGTGGACATGCTTTTTATTTCTGACTTCTGTGTGCTAGGAAACGATCCCCTCTGACTCAGGCGGCTGGCACAGTGCACTTCCCAGGGCTTGTGGGCGGGCCTGAGCTCGCTGACAGTGGTAGCCCGGGAGTGACCCCTGCTGGCCTTAGACCGGCGAGGGCTCGGCGCACCACAGGGCTGACTGTTGTCTGTGGAGACACCAAGGAAGATTTGAACATAGGACAGATTCGATCTATTCAGTTTTCCAAGCGACCCCGGGGAATGTCGGGCTGAGGTCTGGTAATGTGGATGGAGACAGAGACCTGTGAATCCACGGGTGAATCCTGTGGACTTATGCACGGGTTGGAGTGTGGACCATAGAGGTGGGGAGTCTTCAGATCTTTGATAGATTTCTTTTATTTTCTGTCGTCTGTCTGTCTATCTATCATCTATCTATCTCTATCTATCTATCTATCTATCTATCTATCTATCTATCTATCTATCTATCTATATCTATCCATCTATCTATCTATCTATCTATCTATCTATCTATATCTATCCATCGATCTATCTATCTATCTATCTATCATCTATCTATCTATCAATCATCTATCTATCCATCCATCCATCCATCCATCCATCCATCCATCCATCTATCTATCTATCTATCTATCTATCTATCTATCTATCTATCTATATCTATCATCTATCTTCAGGCACTCTCTCTATATATGCCAGGCTGTCCTCAAACTCAGAGATCCTGCTTCCTTCAGCTCCTGAGTGATGGGACAAAAGGAGGGGCCTCCCACGAAGGACCTCTTTCACAGTTCTTAACGTTGTACTTTCTTTCCACTCTCCTTCTAATTTTTGTTTTCTTTTCTTTTTCTTTTTTCTGTCTTGGCTGGAACTCACCGTTTAGACCAGGTTTGCCTTGAATTCACAGGGATCTGTCTTCTTCTGTGTCCTTTTTTGGGATAGGGCTGCCAACTGAACTCTGCTTGTCTGTAAAATGGAGGAAGCACCCTAAACATCTGAGTCATCTCTCCTGCCTTTCCAGCGTATCTTTTTGTTTTGTTTTGATTTTTTTTTTGAGACAGGGTTTCTCTGTGTAACAGCTCTGGCTGTTCTGGAACTCACTCTGTAGACCAGGCTGGCCTCGAACTCACAGAGCTCCACCTGCCTCTGCTGAGTTCTGGGATTAAAGGTGTGGGCCACCACCACCCAGTTATTGTTTCCCCAGCACTGCTGTCTTTGTGTGTGTGTGTGTGTGTGTGTGTGTGTGTTATTATTTTTAAAGATTTTAATTAGAAACAAGCTTGCCTCACATGTCAATCCCAGCTCCCTCTCCCTCCCCTCCTCCCCCACCACTCACCAACCCCCATCCCCCCCAGTCCATTTATTTATTTATTCATTTATTTATTATGTATACAGTGTTCTGTCTGCATGTATCCCCGCAGGTCAGAAGAGGGCACCAGATCTCATTACAGATGGCTGTGAGCCACCATGTGGTTACTGGGAATTGAACTCAGGACCTCTGGAGGACCAGCTAGTGTTCTTAACCACTGAGCAATCATTCCAGCCACCTTCCAATGAGTCTTAGAAACCAAGCCATCAGGATTTACTGCTGAGCCAAGTGTAGGTTTGAAGCAAAACAAAATAAAGGAAAATAAATTGTCCCCATTGGGGAGTGTTTGTGAAAGGCAAGGGTAAAAAAAATTGCTGAAAGTACTTTGCAGTTATGTGAAGGCATTCGCTATTTGAGTAAAGTCCACTGTGTGAGTTATTCCCCAAGTTGAGACTCACTGTGTGACTCATGCTGTACACACACACACACACACACACACACATACACACACACACACACACACACAAGTCTTCCGGTTTCTGCTTTCCAAGTGGTGCATAAAGATCTTCGCCATCATGCCTGGCCCACACAGAAGTCTTAATTAAATGGATGTGGATAAAACTACATTTTGAATCCATGTGTGTGAAACTCTTCACAGAAGCGTTAGTCTTGTGCCTAGGAAGAGCTTATACCAAGTACTTGACACATAGGACTGGGTTTGCTACTGTGTTTCGCTTTTTGGAGTAGGACTTTGTGCTGGTCTGGATAAGAACGGCTCCCATGCTTAGTCACTAGGGAATGGAATTGTTTGAGAAAGATTACAGGGATTAGGGGATGCGTGGGAGGAAGTGTGCGGCTGGGAGTGGACTTTCAGGTTTCAGAACCCAACACCAGGACAAGTGTGTGTCAGTCTCTGCCTGCTGCCTTTGGGTCAGGATGTAAAGTTCCCGGCTACTGTCCCAGTGCCGGGCCTGTCTGCTTCCCACCATTGATGGTCAAGGACTGACCCCCTGAAACTGTGAGCAGGTCCCAGTTAAGTGATTGCTTTTATAAGAGTTGCCTGAGTCCTGGTGTCTCTTCACAGCAGTGGGGTAGTAAATAAGTCAGGCTGCCATTCTTTTCTTTTTTTAATAATTTATTTTTACTTCATGTGCATTGGTGTTTTGCCTTCATGTATGTCTGAGTGAGGGTGTCAGATCTTGCAGTTAGAGACAGTCATGAGCGGCCGTGTGGGTACTGGGAATTGAACCTGGATCCTCTGGAAGAACAGCCAGTGCTCTTAACCTCTGAGCCATCTCTCTCGCCTGAGGCTGCCATTCGTATCCCCAAAGAACAAATTGAGGAGACTGATTGCTTGTCCAAGGTCACCCAGTAAGGGACAGCATTGAGGGGTGCAGCCCAGGGGGCAGCTGGGTGTGCCCACCTGCAGTGATGAGAGGGGGACCTGGATGAACCTTTGGGAGACCAGCACCCTTGTTTGTTACCTACAGTCTTGTTTCTCTACAGGTTTCCCATTACTCAATGAAGCCTCCCAACCAGGAAGAGGTAAGCGGAGGGTGCCCAGGAGTCACACTCCTCAGTCTTCACAGAAGAGACCTCTGTGACTGTGGGGTCTGGGGACTCTTTGCTCGGCGTTCTCTCTCTGCTCCCATTGGATTTCCCGGGCAGGTGCTCAGGCTGTAAGGTCCCCATGTCCACAGCAGGGAATGCGTGGCCAGGTTTCCATTCATGGCAGTCACTGGCTTGAGTTTCAGAGGTCCTAAAGCTCCAGGGATGAGCATTGGAGGGAGCCTGGAAGGGAGATGGGTCGGGAAGGCTGGGGAATCCTGAGGTGTGCATGAGGTCTGCAGGATTAGCTGGAAGGTGGGAGCTGGGGGTTACACGGTAGCTGAGGGCTGGGCTTGCATGCTGGGATGGGAATGGAAGTTCGGTGTGAAGACGCCTGTGTGAGCTGTGAGAGTGTGTGTAGATGCTTCCTGGCCTTCCTGCCCGGGACATAGTGGACGACAGTGACCCAAATATGATCTGTGTGAGGCAGATGACTGGGGGAGCCTACGTGAATTCTCTGCTAGAAAGGAGGGACTGTTCATAGCGTCCTTGAAGCTAGAATTGACTCCAGCTGTGGTGGTTTCAATGCGCATGCCCCCCCCCATAGGCTCATAGACTTCAACACTTGGTCCCCATTGGTGGAACAGTTTGGGAAGGATTATGAAGTGTGGCCTTGCTGGAGGAGGTGTGTCACTGGGGATGGACTTGTAGGTTTCAAAAGCCCATGCCATTCTCAGTTAACTGTCTCTGCCTGGTACCCGTGGTTCAGGATGTAAGCTGTCAGCTACTGTACGAGTGCCATGCATGCCTGCTGCTGTGAGGGTCATAGGCTCACTCTCTGAGTTGGAAGCCCCCAATAAACTCTTTGTTCTGTAAACTACCTTGGTCGTGGTGTCTCTTGACAGTAATAGAAAGGTAACTAAGATACCATCAGTCCACCTGCCTGTTCTTGCTGAGTGCTGACCAGAGTGGTTGGTGGGACCTTGAGGACAGACTCGATGTCATAGCTTCAGAGCCTGGTACCCTCCGGTGTAGGAATCTAGGTGGGAATGACTGTCTTGAGGATGACAAGAGTCCCTGAGAAGGGGCTTCATATAAACTCAACTTTCCCGTTGTGGCAGGGCTGTGTGTCCTTTGAGGATGTGGCTGTGTACTTCTCCTGGGAGGAATGGAAACTGCTTGACGACTCGCAAAGGCTCCTGTACCAGACTGTCATGACGGACATCTTGGCAATCATGTCCTCCCTGGGTAAGCCCCCCACCCCTAACCTGTCAGAGCGTGTCTGTGTAGGCTTGCCTTTTTTCTAGAGAGCCTTATCCTTCTCAGAAATGGCCTGTGAACACCGAATCTTTCTTCCACTCTCCTGCAGTATAAAATACAGGTTAAAAAAGACATTTGTTTCACAACAGTGTCGTCTCTCATAGTTGCAGCAAGCATCCAGGAGTCAATTTGGGGTTAGGATCTTTGTGGGGGTGGGGGTTGTTTCAGTCATGATCTATCTATAGAGTCCTGGTTGTACTGGACCTGGGTCTTCCTAGCTCGCCAAGATCTTTCTCTGGCTCCTGAGTGCTGTGGTGAATGGGTACTTCTAGGTAACATGCCTGTGTCTGCAAGTGGCAGGAACTGGTGAGCTCGTTATTGGGTGTTCCAGTTTTTTTGGGGGGGGTGGGGTTGAGATAGGGTTTCTTTGTAACTTTGGCCTTAAACTCAGAAATTTTCCTGCCTTCGCCTCCCTTGTGTTGGGATCAAAGGCACACACCACCATTGCATGGCCTTTTTTAAAAAAAATTTTTTGTAAGACAGTCTTATCAGGATTATTCTCATTAGGCTTCGTTCCTGTTGAATGTATTGACTCAGTCCTAGCACAGAGCACTTCTTGTGTTATTTCCCTTTAGGACTTGTACCTTCTGGGATCCATGGCATCACTCAGCTAGGGCCTTGGGGAGAGCCCTCTGTGCCTGCGTTGAGATTCCTGACTCCAGGTGTGTTATAGGTGCTTGGGTGGTGGTGTTTTCTGATGTGTGTAGCTATTAACTTGGAACCAGGACTGGCCCCTCTTGGTTCAGTCTCTTATGTTTTGCCCGTTGCTAGAGTGCATTATATCTAGGGCAATCCTTGACTGCAGATTCTGCAGTCACCATGTCTTAGGGGCCTAGACAACCTTCTGCACTGTGTCCTGCATCTTCAGCAGCTGATGCTTGTAGAGAGCTGTTGCTGAGGACAGCGTTAAGGCTCGCAGCCCTTCTCCCCGTTATTCACTCCATGCTTGCGTTCTTGCTGTCCCTGACGTCCCTAGGCCCTGTGACACTGACAAATCGAGCATGGCGATGGGTCCTCGCCACCCTGAACTAGCCCCCGTGTTCTGTGAGAAATCTCAGAACACTGTTAGTGATATGCGCTGTCTGTCTGTCACTCAACAGTCTCCACCCCATTCATCAGTGTCTCTCACTGTTCAGGTTGTTGGATCAAAGTGGAGAGTGAAACACCCCCCTTTGAGCAGAGTCTTTCTGTGGAAGGAGATCTTAATTCACCCATGCCCCGACAGCCAGTGCTGAGCCATGCTGAGGCAGCCTTGCTAAGGGCAGACAATGCGATGGTCCTCCAGACTTCCTCGGGTCTCCTCGGGCATCAGGTGACTTCCAGTGGTGGGGAGGCATCCAGGAGCACGGTGAGTGGAGAGGCCATTGCCACAGAGAAGAAAAACTGCATATGCGGTGACTGTGGCAAAGTCTTTACTAGTATATCTCACCTTAACCGGCACCGGATGATACACACGGGAGAAAAGCCTTTCCAGTGCAGCGAGTGTGGCATGTCCTTCAGCCAAAAAGCCTTTCTCATCAAGCATTTCAGAATTCACACCGGGGAGAAGCCTTTCAGGTGCGGCGAGTGTGGCAAAGCCTTCAAGCACAACATCTCCCTCGTTTCCCATCAGCGAGTTCACACGGGAGAAACGCCTTTTACGTGCAGCGAGTGTGGGAAATCGTATATGACCAGATCCAACCTAACACGCCATTATCAAATTCATAACGGAGAAAAGCCTTACAATTGTGGGGAATGCGGGAAAGCCTTTAAGGAAAAATCCAGCCTTGCTTATCACGCCCGAGTGCACACCCGGGAAAGGCCTTTCCAGTGCAGCGAGTGTGGCAAATCCTTCAGCCAAAAAGCCTTTCTCCTTAAGCATTTCCGAGTTCACACCGGGGAGAAGCCTTTCACGTGTGGTGAGTGCGGCAAAGCCTTCAAGCACAACTGTTTCCTTGTTGCTCATCAGCGGGTGCACACGGGGGAAACACCTTTCGCGTGCAGCGAATGCGGGAAATCGTACATGAACAGATCAAGCCTTTTGTATCATTATCGGGTTCACACCGGAGACAAGCCTTAGAAACTCAGCCAGTGCGGAAAATCATTTCAGGAAAAGAAAAGAGATCCAGCCTTGTTTATCATGTCTGAGTACACACTGGGGGAAAAGACCTTCTGAATGTTAGGAATCTGGGAAGAGTTCAAGAAAATAAACAATAAAACTTCTCCTCTCATGACAGACCAGTTAAGTTCACAGCAGAGGAAACACGGAAGTGCGGCGTGTGTGGGAGATGCTTCGCGGTGAGGTGCAGCCCCATTAAACACCAGAGATTTCACACTGCGGCAAAGCACCATGAGTGCAAGGAATGTGGCAAAGTGTTTTGCTACAGGACTGGACTTTCTAGACACCGAAAGACTCATGCGGAGTAGGAGTGCTGAGTGGCGCGAACATGGGAAACCGTTTCCGTCATCTCCTGTATACACACGAGAGAATGTTCGCTGGACAAACGTCTAGAGCGTTGCAAACGGGAGGAGCCTTGACCCACACCTCCATCCTCTTTAACTGGAGAGGACACAGCTCTGGGATGCTTCATGAACCCACGGACTCTGGGAAAGCCTCTGAGGAAATGTCTGCTCTTATTAGTAATATACACGACACCCAGATAGGTCTGAGAACGCAGACAAAACTCTTCAGCCGTGGGTCAACCTTGTTCAGCCTTAGGAGCGAACCAGATTTTGAAGAGAAGTCCTGAGAGTGGCCTTTGTGAGGGGCGCCATTCAATGAAAGTTACTCAACAAATAAGAACTTTTGGGCAAAAATGAGAATTGTTGACATCTTCCTATGCCCCAAAAGATAATACTTCCTGGGGAACTTAGCAAGGGGCAGCCCTATGTTCTTGACTGCACCATGTGGAGTGGAGTTTCCATGGTACTGTTTGGATGGGGGAGAATCAGCACGCCCTCAGTTTAAATAAGACGTGGTTTTATTGTTTAGCTTTTTTCTCACTGAATGTTGCAATTCCTGGAATAAATGATTGTTTCATTGGGGATCAGCTCTGTGTAACACTTTATGCTCTCATGAAGGAGTAGAGTCCATATGTTTTAAGGGTTTGCTGCCTTTTCATGTGTGAGAATTTTGGCTACACATATAGACATGTATCCATATTAAGTGCATAACTGGTGCTCTCGAGGCCTCCAAAAGACGTTGGATCCCTGCAACAGGAGTGGCAGATGGTTGTGAACCACAGTGTTTGCTGGGAATGGAATCCAGGCTCTCTGCAAGAGCATAAGCTGTCTTACATATTGAACCCTCTCTCCAGCTCCATGTTTTCAGTTTTTAAGAAGTTACCAGATTCAGTTCTAAGTGACTTATGATTTTTGATTTCCTCCTGGAGTATATCAGATACCAGTTCCTCACTGCCTGACACTTTCTAAGTCATGAAGTATTCAGTTTAGCAATTTTTAAAAAAAGTTAATTTGTTATATATACAATTTTCTGTCTACATGTATTCCTGCACTTGAGAAGAGGGCACCAGATCTTATTATAGATGGTTGTGAGCTACCATGTGGTTGTTGGGAATTGAACTCAGGACCTCTGGAAGACCAACCAGTGGTCTTAACCTCTGAGCCATCTCTCCAGCCCTCATTTTAGTAATTTTAATACCTATGTATACCTGAGCGTGGTGATACAGGCCTTTAATCCAAGGACTCAGGAGGCAGAGACACTGGATTTCTGTGAGGTCACATCCAGCCTGGTCTATATAGTGAGTTCGAGGACAGCCAAGACTACAAAGAGATACCCTGTCTCAAAAAACATAAAAAGGACAACACACCAACAATTAAAAAAACAACAACAAAAAGTGTGTAGTAGCATATAATTGTGGTTTTAGTTTTATCTCTGTATATTATTGTAAAGATTTATTTACATTTGTGGGCTTCTGTTTTGTGCACCTCATGTATGTCTGGTCCCCTTGGAGGGAAGACTGGACATCAGAGTCACTATGGCTGGAGCTGTGGATGCTGGGAATGGAACCAAGTTTCTTTACAAGAACAGTAAAAGCTGTTAGCCAATGAGCCATTTCTCTGGCCTCACCACCCATGTTTACTTTTCTTTTGCTTGTTTATATATAGTCTTACTGCATAGGCTTGACTAGCCCGGAGCGCTCTCTATAGATCAGGCTGTCCTACAACTCATGGAGATGCACCATCTTCTGTGTTCTGAGTGCTGGTATTGAAGACATGGGCCACTGTCAAATCCAAAAGAAACTAGGGACAAAAAGGCTACCTGTGGTGCCTATTAGCATACCAAAGCACATGCTGGCTCCTGGCTCACCTCAGCTCTTCTCAACCTGTGCTCTACCCAACGTCTCTAGCTCAAGGCCTGCCTTCTGATTCCTATATGACTCTGCCATTTCAGCTATGTGCTGTCTTCGTGTTCTTGGCACTCTTGGTCCCCTTTCTCTTAGTCCCTTTTCTTCTCCTGATGTCCGACTCTCTCCTCTCATGGCCCAGTCTAGAATACTGGTCAGATTTAGTCTGCTGCCTTCTCTCCCTGCTCTGGACTCCTCCAGATGCCTCTGACTGTCCTCTCCCTCATATCTACAATAACATCTTTCCCCTCAACCGTACCTCGGAGATGTCATGTTTTCACTTCACTCAGCCATACGTGGCACCCATATTTTTGTGGTTATTTTTTTTCTTTTTGGATCTGTGGATTCAAGGCCAGTCAGATCTACATAGTGAATTCCAATGCTATGTACTATGAACCTCTCTCTCTCTCTCTCTCTCTCTCTCTCTCTCTCTCTCTCTCTCTGTCTCTGTCTCTCTCTCTCTCTCACACACACACACAGAATCCCCAAACAAACAAACAAAAAACTTGTTTTCTGTTATTGTTTTGAAAGTTTTTGATATTTCTGAGAAAAATATCAAAGTCTGTGGGCTTTGTTTTTCCTTTTTTATTTTGTGATAAGGTCTCATTGTTGATCCTAGGATGTCCTCAAACTCTTAACCCCCCTCCCCACCCTCCTGAGAACTGAGATTGTCTGAGTGTCAACATACCTAGCTGTTTCCTTTGCTCTTTTTGTTTGTTTGTTTGTTTGTTTTTGTTTTTTGAGACAGGGTTTCTCTATATTGTTTTGGAGTCTGTCCTGGAACTGACTCTGTAGACCAGCCCGGCCTCGAACTCACAGAGATCTGCCTGCCTCTGCTTCCCGAGTGCTGGGATTAAAGGCGTGCGCCACCAACTCCCGGCCTCCTTTGATCTCTTGAGGCTTATGCATTTATCCATCTTGGTGACTTAAGGGTTTGTTCCTCTAAAGTGGTGAGAATTCTCTAACCACAAAAGTTAGGTATATTCATCCCTAATATACAGAGTATAATTATGCCCATGAACAGAGGCGTGTGACACAGGATCTTCCAGTGTCTGCACAGACTTCTCTCCATTCATGCTTTCCCAGACTGAAGGCAGGACCCCCTGCAGAGACCCGTGGTATGATGTGAGAGAGGGGTAGCCTTGTCCTTCTGCCTGGCATGCCCTGGGCTTTACCCCTAGCTGAGTGCTTTCCAGGGACAGCGGCGGGACCCTGCAGTAGCAAATGAAAAGGAGACATTTGTGGGTAAAGCCTAGCAACAAACAGGCCTCAATGCATGAAAGAAAGAAAAGGAAAAGAAAGGAAGGATGGAAAGAAGGAAGGAAGGAATAAAATAAGGCAGAAATGAATCTTACACTAAAGAGTGTCAGTATGACACTGACCCTTTCACCAGACAATAAGAACCTCCTATTTATGGGAAATGCACCACACAAATCAGGAGTAGCTGAGGCCTTCCTATGATTAGCGCAGAGACCAAGATACGAAGAGGAATTTATTGGGTGTCATCACCAAAGTACATGTGCAAAAGATTACACTCAGAGTATTTCACTTATATGGTCCAAACCTCACATGGGATTGGTGGCAGGTGTATCAGTCAGGGATATCACAGGCATGTTCACAGACAGACCCACAGACATCCAAGTACAAGCAGTTGCAAGGCTCCTCGTGGGTGCTGAGACTCCAACTTGTCTTCTGTAAGAGCAAATGAAAAACCTCGGCATCAAAGCACCGGGCACTGAAACGAACCCTCTGCCCAAGAACCGGGGCCAGACCACTGGCTGCAAATGCAAGAGGTGATTTATTGAGTACACAGGCGACTGTGGATGCTACTGCAACTCGGGTGCAGAGCATACCAGGCTTGTAGGGAGTACAATACTTATAGAGTTTTAATGGTTACATAAGTAACAGGCATTTCATTGGCTCATCTTGGGGGCAGGGGTAGTTCCCACGGACTAAGTTTCCTGGTATTACTTTATGAAAGACCCAGGCATACTTCAGCAATTATTATCCTGGTCCCATGACTACTATGGTGATCATAGACACAACTGGGGGCAAGGGTAGTTGCCAAGGACTAGGTGTCCTGGTATTGCCATATGAAAGTTCCCAGCACGCTTCAGCAATTATTATCCATGTCCCATGATTGCTATAGTGATCAGACACAATTGGGGGCCAGGGTAGTTGCCAAGGACTAGGTTTTCTAGTATTGTCATATGAAAGTTCCCAGCACGCTTCAGCAATTATTATCAGGGTCCCATGACTGCTATAGTGATCACAGACATCCTGTTTTGAGGGTGAGACACCTGGTCAGGGTTTCTTTCATTAGGCAACGGCCTGGCCTTGCTTTTCTTTTCCTAGGGGGTCCTGGGTAGGGGTCTTTCACAAATAGTGAGCTTCTTGTTAGGGAGCCATCTTTCTAGTGCTGACATTTTCGTCTCCAATAGGCTGACATATAGGTGAGGTCAAAGCTTGAGAGTAGCTGAGGTTGTGGCTCACTTGGTAGAGGGCTTGTGTAGCATGCGCATGGTCCCGGATTTAATTGACAGCAGCGTCTAATCCCGAGGTGGTGTGGTGGCCCACACATTCAGGAGGTCAAGACAGGTGCCTCAGAATTTCAAAATAATCCCCAGGTACAGAGGTGGAGGTCAGCCTGGCCCACAGAAACCTGTCCCCCCCCCCAAAAAAATCAAATAGGGCAGGGTTCGTGTGGAGTTGTGCAAGCAATTAATCCCAGGACTTGGGAGACAAAAGCAAGTAGATCTCGCCGGGTGTTGGTGGCGCACGCCTTTAATCCCAGCACTCGGGAGGCAGAGGCAGGCGGATCTCTGTGAGTTCAAGGCCAGCCTGGTCTACAAGAGCTAGTTCCAGGACAGCGTCCAAAACAATGCGGAGAAACCCTGTCTTGAAAAAAACAAAACAAAACAAAACAAACAAACAAAAAACCAACTGGACAAAAACCACCTAAAGCACAAACAAATGTTACAACTTTTAAGAACACGATGAAGAGGCTAAGCCTATGAATCCAAAGAACGGGAAGAAGATATGAAATACAATCTAAGGGAGGGTGGAGGGATGCCTCAGTAGTTCAAGAACACAGGCTTTTCTTGCAGAGGACCCAGGCTTGATTTCCAGCACCCACCGCGCTATGGCTGACCACCATCCAATGCCCACAGGAGTGTGCAAGAGGCACATACACACATCCAGGCAAAACACTCATGCACACAAAATAGGTAAACCCCCAACACATTAGCAAAAAGAAGAATCTAAAGGAATAGTAAAGACATTTGGTGAAATGGTAGCATATCTGAGCTCTCTAGTTATAAGACAAAGACCAACTGCATGGGTTCAAAGATCTGACAGATTTTTGTCTGAAACAAATAAACCGCTGGCAAAGAGATTGAAAATAAAAGATGTCAGACAATAAGCAAAACACACGGAAGACAAAAACTAACCACGGGTGCCTAAACTTACATCTGGTAAATTACACCTTGCCTAAGGTTGGATTACATACAATGTGCTACATCACATTAATACGAGGACCAGTTTGTTAAGAACATGGCGCAATACAAATATATGCACCTGTTCACACGCATGATTTTCTAAAATAAACATTGTCAAATAATAGAGACAGTCATGGTGGGTGACTTCAATATCTCATTGTCATCGAAAGATCTGCCATCT